ATCTGGAAATGTTTTTCTATCTGGAAATGTTTTTCTATCTAGAAATGTTTTTACATCTGGAAATGTTTTTACATCTGGAAATGTTTTTACATCTGGTAATGTGTTTCTATCTGGTAATGTTTTTCTATCTGGAAATGTTTTTTCCATCTGGAAATGTTTTTTATCTGGAAATGTTTTTCTATCTGGAAATGTTTTTCTATCTGGAAATGTTTTTCTATCTGGAAATGTTTTTCTATCTAGAAATGTTTTTCTATCTAGAAATGTTTTTACATCTGGAAATGTTTGCTATCTGGAAATGTTTGCTATCTGGAAATGTTTTTACATCTGAAGTGGTTTTCCATCTGGAAATGTTTTTCCATCTGGAAATGTTTTTCTATCTGGAAATGTTTTTCTGTCTAGAAATGTTTTTACATCTGGAAATGTTTTTACATCTAGAAATATTTTTTCATCTGGAAATGTTTTTACATCTGGAAATGTTTTTCCATCTAGAAATGTTTTTTCATCTGGAAATGTGTTTACATCTAGAAATGTTTTTCTATCTGGAAATGTTTTTACATCTGGAAATGTTTTTCCATCTGGAAATGTTTTTTTTTGGAAATGTTTTCTTTTTAAAAATGTTTTTCCATCTGGAAATGTTTTTCTATCTGGAAATGTTTTTCTATTTAAATATGTTTTTTTTCCATCTGGAAATGTTTTTTGTCTGGAAATGTTTTGCTATCTGGAAATGTTTTCTACCTGGAAATGTTTTTCTATTTGGAAATGTTTTTCAATCTTAACTTTTTTTTATCTGAAAATGTTTTTCCATCTGTAAATGTTTTTTTCCATCTGGAAATGTTTATCTTTCTGGAAATGTTTTTCTAGCGGGAAATGTTTTTTTATCTGTAAATTTTCTGCAAGTAACTTATAGAGAAACGCAGTTGAATATAATCAATTCTAAGATTTAAAAAGATGGATAACATCATAATTTTTAGGGTGATAAAGGTTTAAAATAGTTGTGAATCGGACATGCCATTCTATAATCTATAAATATATGGTCACTGATGTAAAAGATAAAAATCATAAACTAAAAATGTATAATTGAAGATAGCTAACGTTTAGGTCCCAAAACACTTTAACAATACTAAGAGCAAAAGATTTGAAAAAAATCAATTTGCTCTCAAAATAAATGTTTTATATTGAATATATTTTTATATATAAATATATCACCTTGATAGATATTGACAATGAGACAATAGATTAGGCGAAGATAGATATCTTTAATCTATCAGAGTAGAACGAGAAGTAATTAGGAGGGGGGGGTTGTATATTGTCCCCCCTCTCTCTATAAAAACAATTATAGTTTGTACGGGAAAAAGAGTTGGGGAAGGGAAGGGAAAAAGGTGGAGGAAGGGAGAGGTTTAAGGGGAGGAAGGGGAGGGGTTTAAGGGGGAGGAAGGGAAGGGAATAGGGGGGAGGAGGGGAGGAGGTTTAAGGGGAGGAAGGGGAGGGGTTTAAGGGGGAGGAAGGGAGTGGTTTAAAGGGGAGGAAGGGTAGGGGTTTAAGAGGAAGGAAGGGTGAGGTTTAAGGGGGAGGAAGGGTAAGGGTATATGGAGGAGGAATCTCAGAAAAACCCCGTGAACTATCCTTTTAATCCCCCCTTGTCATATCTGTCTGATGTTTATAAGCATGTAAGTCCAGAAATATTTATGATCGCTTGATACTAACATGAGTTGGGCCAATCAAAACATTGCTCTTGTTTACATTCAAAATGTCAATAGGGAACTTTATTCATAGATTCCTGATCTTAGGGGCATCTGCGAGACATCATTTTTTTCGTTGAAACGTTTTAAGATTTTTTGGCTTTACTGAGCCTAACCTAATGTCTAAAAAATTGATAATTGAATACATAAGCTCGAGGATAAGTTAGGCAAAATGGAAAATACTCAAATACGCAAATCTTACGCAAACATTGAAAGGGAATAAGAATTAACAATTAGAAAAATAGTATTTTTAAAGAAAAAAGATATCATAGTTTATATTTGAAACCTGTTGTAGCTCTCTAATAGTCTAATAGTCCAAATTCGAGATATTATTGATTTACGCCATCAGGTTGCAATGATACAGTATTATTATATATCAAGGGAGGATTGTGTCCAGTTTAAGCAGAATTTTTATTTCTTTAACTTCTTCAATTTTTGTTTATTATTTAAAAGGTATTTTCAAACAGAAAAGTTAAAATCTACAAAAACTTGTTATTTCCTGCTAATTTATAGAAAAGCAAATATTTTGAAAGAAAACCATCAAACTTGAAATTTCTTCATTAGATCAATAAATCAACAAATGTCATTTTTTTGTTTATGTTTGATTGAAAATATTGAAAGGTAATGATTGACGTCTCTTCAACAGATCAGTTTCTTGTCTATCTAGTATCCACCTATCTAGTATCTATCTATCTAGTATCCATCTATCTAGTCTCCATCTATCTAGTATCCATCTATCTAGTATCCATCTATCCAATATCCATCTATCTAGTATCTATCTATCAAGTATCCATCTATCTAGTCTCCATCTATCTAGTATCCCTCTATCTAGTCTCCATCTATCTAGTATCTAGTAAAAAGAAACGTTAAAAATGCAAATGGCTTGGATGAGAAGGTGGTGGTACTCAGGGTATATAGAGGATACGGCATAAATCACTATTTGCTCCCAGTGAACACCAGAGAAAGATTAGGCTCTTAGAAAACCCATAAAATTTACACTGTTCATCAAAGGGTAGGGGGGGGGGGGAGAATGAAGCAAGGGGAAATATAATAAACAGTTATTTTAAAACAAAATTTTTTTCTCGACCAATATTAATCCATGTCTTAACATCAATTTCAATGTTTTGATTTATGGTTTGTACTTTTTTACACTCCCGATAATATTATCAATATTTATGAATAAAATATATATATCTATTTAATCATACATTACATATTGCAAATATATATATATATATATATATATATATATATATCATGTATAAATGTTTTGGAAAATAATTTCAAAATTTTTGTTTTGTTGGGATTTTTGGCATAAAAAAATAAAATGTGATAAAAAAATAAAAATATTTTTGGAATGTTAAAATTTTTTTTTTAAATTGTAAAAGGAAATTCGCAGATTCAAATGTTCCCAAAATATTTTTGATTTTTTTTATCTAATTTTTTATGCCTAAAATTAAAACAAAACAAAAATTTTGAAAATGTTGTCTAAAATATCAATGATCCCGTTTTTTTCTCACCGTAAGTAAGTTTCATCGTAAGCATTATCTTTACTTTTAGTACTTATTCTTATTCTTGTATTAGCCTCGTTAATCCTATTCTTATTTTTTTTTGTATCCTATTCTATTCTTTTTCTAGTATATTTCTTGTGAATTTCTATCCTTATTCTTGTATTATTCTTGCTTATCCTATTCTTATTCTTATCGTGTTATTCTTTTTTATACTATTCTAAATCTCTTATCATTCTTGTTTATCTATACCTCAGAACATATATATTCTGAGATATATACATACGTAATTTGGTATAATATGTTTAATAATAATAATATAAAAATAGAGGTTTTGGGAATATTTCCCCCAAATCTAAGAAAATATAAAAAATAGAAATATAAGGAAAGGGAAAGGACAAGAAAGGAAAAGGAATTAACGTTAAAACGGCTGGACCAATCAGGTCCAAATTAACGTTAAAACGGCTGGACCGATCAGGTCCAAATTAACGTTAAAACGGCTGGACCGATCAGGTCCTTTGTTGTAGCACATACATAATAAAGGTTTTCAGAATAAGAAATTTGGCCTTAAAATAATTTCGATTAAAAAAAGGCATTGATAATTTTTTCTTTGCAACCCAATGTCGTAGACCTCAGATATTTCAAACTATAAATTCTCTTGGATCAAATAGTCTAATTTTCAAATATATAAAGTTTACACCATCCGGTTGCAAAGTTATAGGCAACAGATAATTTGAGTTTGTGGCAAAAACTCGGTTCCTTTAAATTTGAATCAAGTTCTGTATGTCCAAGGTTTAAACCTCTGGAAATTTGAATTACTTTACAATTATAAGTAGAAACGTCCCCGAAAATGATGTTTTTAAACGTATGAAGAAAAAAAGGGTATTGTAAAAAGCAAAATTAGGGTTTCCACCATAATTCCGGAAATGATCCGGAAATTATTTCCATTATGGAAAAGATTCCGGAAATCCGAAATTCCGAAACGATTTTTTCCCCGTGAACCGGAAATTTTCGGATCGCTGTTCCGGAATTACGGAACGTTCCGGAATATTCCGGTTTACGGAAAATCGTTTTGGAATTTTCCGGAAAAAGGTTCCAGAAAAACGTCTCAAACTTATGTAAAAGATAAAACCAGTAAGTAATACTATCTACATAATAATATAATATGCGCCTGGTTAAGCTGTAGTTAAAGTAATACTACTGTGAATTATCATGAAATATAAATCTTGACTGCCATTAAAATTTAAAAGCTACAACTTTTAGAAGAAAGAGGGGCGCAAAGCGTTTCACTTCAGCCAAGTTCTATTAAATAAGCTCAAATTTCTAAATTAATATAGCCAATATAACCGCATTTTCCTCTTAACCGCATTTTCTCCCAAGTCTCGTTTAACTAAATATATTCATGTACGATTAAATATATTCGTGTTTGAATATATCAATATTTAAATATATTCATGTTTAAATATCAATATTTAAATATATTCATGTTTAAATATATCCATGTTCAAATATATATTATGTAATGAATATATTGCATGCCTTCTCTTCACTTCTGAATATATAATTATGTATATTTGTAATATTTATTTATTCTTTCCTTTTATACTAGGAGAGGAACCAATAGAAGAAACATGTAGAAATACGTTAATACAATCAAATTATGAAATAAAATAGAAGAAACATGTAGAAATACGTTAATAAAATCAAATTATGAAATAAAATAGAAGAAACATGTAGAAATACGTTAATAAAATCAAATTATGAAATAAAATAGAAGAAATAGAAGGAAATTGCTATATTTTTGCAAGAAATAATACAAAGAAATGAAACTTAATTAAGAAATTATATTATAAAATCTTTTAAACAAATACTGCTGCGAATATTTTCGTCATAATATCAAAAAATCTAAAATTTTGAAATCAAATTTTGCAGAAAATGTTCTGCTGAAAGGTTTCATGTCTCCTTTATCAGCTGCAGTAGCTGAGCTGATCTAGCGACTGGATTTATTGTAATCCCTGAATATAAAATAAATCCGTAGATAATGGAAAGAAATCAAATCATGGGGTGAAACCATCACATTCTAATGCAGAGTGGAAAATAAACCTGCAGGATAGTAAAGAAACTTACACTCTTGGGAAAATAAGATAAAGTGATAAGAAAGCTAGTAAAAATGTGAAAAGCTCTCAGGGCATCAGTAACAAACAAAAGTTTTTTAGGTTCCTTTAATTCTTCCAGCTGACCTGAACCCTTGGAAGTATGTAAGTGCGGTTATATTGGAGCTTTGATGCCTCCAATGTGCGGTCAATGTCCCAATATGAACTCTAGTGTAAATAACTCCGCCTGCAGTGATGTAGCACGATCCAATGATCTAAATCACTCCGCTTGCGGTAAAGCCCCACGACCCAGTGATCTAAATAACTCCGCTGGCGGTAAAGCCCCACGATTCAGTGATCTAAATAACTCCGCCTGCGGTAAAGCACCACGATCTAACGATCTAAAAAACTCCGCCTGCGGCGAAGTAGCTCGATCCACTGATCTAATTTTTCTAAATAGTTTGCTCAACTCGACCGAACCTGGTAGAAAGAAGGATATTGCAGGAATACAGGTGAAATTTTATTTGTTGGTAAATTAAAGAGACAGTAAGCGTAATTTCTAAGTGACCCTCCTTGCAAGGAGGGCACTGCCCGATTTACAACGGAACCCTTTAAACTGTTTATCGAGTAAATAGAGCTCTTTGTTTAAAAACTACTTAAAAACTACTTGAATCCCTCTGAAACGCAGTGTAGCTGTGTACAATTTGACCTCAATACAGCTGATGCGCTACTTGTGTAAATTGACATTACAGAATATTATACATTAAACCCAGTTTATAAAAATTTAAAAGAAAATATTTATTATCTGTCAATTTTAGGGACTGATTTTTAATATTTTTAAAACTTAAAGCAGCTTGCAAACAAAGTGTTCAACACTTATACGCGTTTTTGTAGATTTATGAGAATAAGTCCCACAACATTGTCGAGTTACTGCTAAAAGATGTTCCCTATCTGGCCTTGCAAATTTTAATTTCGTTTTTTGAAACTTAACTAAACTAATGCCAATTGTTTTATTGAATTTTTTATTGAAACAATAGCAACTTTAAGAGCAACAGTTTAATGCTAAAATTGTTAATATAAAATGGGGCGTGAAGCGCCCTGAAAACCAATTATATATGATATATTGTTATGCTAATATAAGTGTGGAAGGGTTTTTCATGGTCTGGAAGGAAAATTCAATCCATATATTCATATTTTCTACATATTACAGATATTTAACAGAATATTTATTCATGGTTATTGAAAAAATAATTGATAAAAAGCATAGGATTGGCTGAGAAAATCAATTGCATCTTATTCTTGTAACAGACTCTTTGCCTCTTCTTAATTCTCTAAAATGTTGCATTTTGCATTCCCCGCTTTCTAGCTTGCCTCTATTCAGCAGTACTAGCTAAGCGATTCTTCACTATAATCCCTCTCCCACTCCTCCTGCCATCTTATATTTCTTTATTCTTGATATAAGTATAAAAAACTCACATCAGTTTTATTAAAAGGTTTAAAGGGAGCAGATGGGAATCGAGTATGTCAATGTACAAATGGAGTCTTACTTGTAATTCTGTCTTTAGTCCCTTTAAAAATCTTCCAAGGATAATCCATGGAATTAAGTCTTCGCCAAAAACTCAGATTTTCTGATCCTATATCTTTGCAACCCAAGTTGTCTCTCAATATGTCAATGTCGTAGAACTTATATATTTCAAACAACAAATTCTATGAGATCAAATACTTTAAGTTTGAAATATCAAAAGTTTACACTGGAGTAGGTTGCAAAGATATAGGGGTTAGAAAATTTGAGTTTGTGGCAAAGACTTAATTCCTCTGTATCTAATCAAATTTACTTACTTTTAAACCACACTTTTAAAAAATCTTTTGCCTTCATCATCAATTTGTTGTTCCCAAAAATCCACTCTATCATGCACACACTTCATATTTGCATATTTTGGATTATTTTGAATTCTGTAGTTTTTTTACTGAATTTTTTGTCCCTGTGTAAATATTTATTATAGTTGATTATACTCCGGCTGTATCTAGGCTAGGTATAAAACTGTAAAATTTATACGTCTTGCAAAAGTGCTAAAAGATGTCTGAAACTACATCATATATTGAACATATTCAACCTTACTCCCCTTTACCCCTCTACAAACATACACTGTTAGAAATTACTGAAACAAAATGCGAGATTTTTCGAAAATTGTTTTATCATTCCAATTAGGCGTGAGAGACAGCAAATGAATTGCGAGGAAATTCTTTAACTAACATTTTATCGTTAGCGATGTTTCTCGATTCATTAAGAAAAGTTAAAATGATAAACTTATATAATAAACTTAAAGCGTGCTCAAAGCTTTCAAGACGATTACGTAATACATCCGAGGAGATAATAGAATAAATCAAATTTAATGTTAACTGAAGGTAATGTAAGCCAAGAAGTGACATCTCGCTGATGTCTTATATAAAGATCTAGATTTTCCATTAGACAAATGTTAATAAGAAGACTCATTCTTCCCCATATGCTTGCGTCAGTAAATAGAGAATTTTGCTTGCGTTACGTTAATTATGCACAATTATGCACAATTATGCGAAAAATGTTGCTATTCCGATTTTTGCGTTTGCTTCATACTTATATTTGTGCAGTTCTCTAAAAAATTCTGCTGTATTTCAAGGGTCGTCTGCATATACTTATCAATTTTCTTTCTAGAATTGAGTTTATTCTTAAAATGATGAATGTTTTCAGAGCTGTTGCAAGCTTTGAATTATGAAATATATAAATATATACATAAATATACAATATATATACATATATAATATATATATACATAAATATACAATATATATATATATATACATAAATATATACAATACAAATTTCTCATGAATATAAAGGAATATTCGAGGAAAGGATAAGTTGAGAAAGAAATATTTGAGAAATGGTTTATAGAAGTTTTAGAGCAGGCAGGCATGGACCTGGTGACAGAGTCATAAATTTAAACTTTAAACTGATCAAAGTTTTATTCCCATAAAAGATTAAAGACTGAACCTTGTTACGTTGAAATATTTTAGCCCGATTAGGAACTCAAAACTTTTACATTTGAGACTTGTAGCGCATTTTGTAACTGGGAAATGGGTAGGCGGGTAGATGGGGGTGGAAGGGCAACGGAGGAGGTTAAGAGTGGAAGGGAAGGAAGGGAGATGAGGGAGGAGGACAGGAAGGAAGGGATGAGGGAGGTGGAGTAACTGGAGAAGAAGGAAGGCAGGAGGAGGACGGGAAGGAATTGAGGAGAACAGGAAGGAATTGAGGAGGAGAACGGGAAGGAATGGATGAGGGAGAAGTACGGAAAGAAAGGGACAAGGAAGGAGGACGGGAAGAAAGGGATGAGGGAGAAGAACGGGAATAAAGGGATGAGAGAGGAGGACGGGAAGAAAGGGATGAGGGAGTAGGACGGGAAGGAATGGATGAGGGAGAAGTACGGGAAGAAACGGATGAGGGAGTAGGACGGGAAGGAAAGGATGAGGGAGAAGGACGGTAAAGAAGGGATGAGGGAGGAGGACGTGAAGGAAAGGATGAGAAAGAAGGACGGGAAGGAAGGGATGAGGGAGAAGGACGGGAAGGAAGGGATAAGAGAGGAGGACGAGAAGGAAGGGATAAGGGAGTAGGACGAGAAGGAAAGAATAGGGGAGTCTGAGAAGATGGAGGAGAAGATGGAGGAGGAGGTGGTGGTGGAATGGGTTCAGACATCCCATATTTATTAACAAAGAGTGTTAATGTTTCAATCTGTATCTATCTATCTATCTATATATTATCTAATCCTAGAAGATATTGTTTTCCAATACATTTTATATTTTCTATATTTATATATTATATATAAAGGGGGTTAGTAGATAATTATTTATCATCCCACATCAAACCTCACTGAAATCAAAGAATTATTAAAATTAGAAATTGAAATACAAAACGATTTTGATTTAATGGAAAAACATTTTGACGCAATATGAAGTGTTGCCTTTATATTTTTAGTTAAAAACACTACATGTAAGGATGGGTCTTCTGTACCCCCTCCCCCCTTCCGGCCCCATACCCAAGGTAATAAGGCAAGAAAAGATAATTGCTGTTTAGTATTCTCTGCGTATATATTGAAACCAGTTCTTTCTGGGCGGAATTTGTAAACAAGAATAGATACATCAGTGTTCCTATAATATCCGAGGAGGATAAAAGCATTTAATTTTAATAATTTTGATAATTTACATAATAGTTTCCTATGACCAGAATATTCAATTGATTTTGTATGTAATAGATGGATCCCATGTCAGGCTGTGACATCCGTCTTAGCCCAAAACAGTACACTGTGGTACAAAAAATGCGTACGGCGGTACACTTCTAAAATAACTATCTTTACATTATAGTTCTTTGCCCCCCCCCCCCCAATCTAAGAAAACTGCTTTCGAAAACGGGTAAATATGAATTCTTAGTTGTAAAATATTTGTATCTCTTATAATGCATGAAATACTAAGTTTGGAAACATTAGTCTATTCTAGACTGAAGCAACATAAATGTTGGAAAATAAGTTTACTCATATCTTCTGAAAGGTTAATGGGAAGAGTTGCAATATTACAACTTTTATACTTTTTAGGATTTTTAAGAGTTAAAAAACTTTAATTTTATTTATTAAATCTGAAAAGGAATTGAGTCTTTGCCACAAACTCAAATTTTCCAATCCCTACATCTTTGGAACCTAACAGTGTAAACCTTTGAAATGTAAAACTTGAACTTTTTGATCTAACAGAATTAATAGTTTAAAATATATGAGGCTTATATCATTGGGTTGCAAAGATACCGGGATTAGAAAATCAGAGTTTGTGGCAAAAGCTCAATTTCCTTTCATCTTAAATTTTTGATGATATGTGTCTCATGATAACAGTATCTATATACATACTTTGCTTGTCTGTCTGGGACCTCGCGTGACCCCAAGGAAGGTTTATGGATAATCGAATTTTCAAGAATGTTCCTCTATCAAAATTCAATTCTTGAAAATTTTAAAAATCCATGAAATTTTTAGCATAAAATCTACAAAATTTTTTGTTTGTTTTTATTTTACAATGTACAATGTTCACAATTGAAATAGATGATGGGCAAGAAGCGCCCTGAAGGCCTTGTATGATATAAGTTTGTATAAGAATAATTCAAATTACTTAATTTGGTAATCTAGCTTGAGCAACTTAATCAAAATAATACTTTATTCGGCAATATGGGAGAAAAAAAAAACAGAAGGACTAAAAACTTAAAGAACTTGATTCGGTTATTTAGTTTGAGCTTCTCAATTTGGGACACAAAAATGTACCCGAAATGCGCAGTTCATAAGACGTAGAATTGACTCAAAATTCAAAGGACTTCATGAATATGTCCTTACCGAGCTAAATTGACAAAACAATTCCAATATTACTACATCGTAAATCTGTGACCAAGCTACATCAATACTGTTGATAAAACATTAAAAAGATCTGAAGGCTATGGAAACCATGCTATAAAAGTATAGAATGTCCAGTAAACAGAAGTATAAAGTATCAAATTGTTCTTTTATAAATTTAGATTTTCACAAATAATTCCTGGAAGTAAGAAAATGTTTAATTGAAGAGAGAAAACATTTGAGTCTTTTCCTCAAACTCAATTTTTCTAATCCTTATATCTTTGCAACCTGATTATGTAAACCTTTGAAATTTCTGACTTAGATTATTTTATCCATCAAAATTCATAGTTTGAAATATCAATGTTGCAAAGATATAGGGATTAAAATCATTTTTTTTGGTTTCAAACCAAATCATTTAATGGAAATAAGTATAAAACATATAGGTCTAAAAATAGGTTAAAATGGGTTTTGTGAAAGAGGGGGGGGGGAGGCAATAAAAACTGTAAGTTTAGGACAGAACTTGCAGTTGTTCTAGAAGTAAAGAAAAACAAGAATGAGTTTAAGAAGTGTATTCCCCAGGGTATATAGTATACAGTATACAGTAGTTGCATGCCTGCGGTTCATTAGAAAATTAGGAATCTAAGCAAATTACCGGTGGTCCTGAGCAGGAGGGGGCTGTTGAGTGGGGGCCAGGGGGGCAGAGGGTGGGGAAGGAGGAAAGTCGTTGGTGGGGAGGTGTCAACTAATTTTTGAAGAAAAAAACTACATTAAATTATTATTATATTAGTGGTGTGGGGTGGAGAGTGTGTTCTTGTTAGATCACACTTGTCCACAGCCAGTATTTGGATTGGTGTCCAGACTGGTGTTTACGGGTTCGATTCACGTACTCCGCACAAACCTGTGGTTTCAAAAACATCTGAAGCCGACATCTGGTTAAGCACTTATGACCACCTGACGGATGTAGGAGGACAGAAGGGCAGCTGTCAACAACTCTCGCAGCGAAAGGGAGCATTCTTTCTACTCAACCAGAAAGAAGCTTTAAGTGGATTGATCCAAGTGAATTTTGATGAAGAGAGAAATGGTGGACAAGCAGTGAGAGTCTATGATTGCCAGCTATAGGTAACTGGGGGTATCCAATCCGGGCTCACAAATAATTGGGAGCAATGAGTGTGATGTTTCATGTCTGTATGGCACCTGGGCCTCGTTCCAGAATATCAGAAGAATTCCTGCACTCTATTATTCTGAGGCCTAAGAAGCAGCTGGAATCTTGTCAACCCTCTTTTCAGTATGGATGAATGTGCTGCCAGATTACAACCCTTGGAAGATAAATATAAACGCATACAACACCAGACTTTCGCAATAGAAAAATTCAGAGATTTGATCGTATAAACCCGATCATGTCCTGGACACAAACAAATCTCTTTTAACAAATTATTATATTATAATTTTTAGAAAAACACTTGTTTGAATTCAAATAGAGGAAACCTAATGCAGTCTGGAGTGGTCCAGTAGTAAACACCTACTCAATTCCAAGTTCTTGAAACGTATCTATCCAGGTCCAACCCGTCCGCAATCAAAGTCAACCAGAACACAAACCACCTGGCTCTAAATGCCACACAGGGACACAAGCGTAGCTATGCAACAAACTATCAAGTAGGTGCTCTAAATGCCACACAGGGACACAAGCGTAGCTATCCAACAAACTATCAATTAAGTGCTCTAAATGCCACACAGGGACACAAGCGTAGCTGTCCAACAACTATCAATTAAGTGCTCTAAATGCCACACAGGGACACAAGTCATTTATCGATCCCAATTGATGGGGACGATCCGACCTATGTTATCAAAACAGGATTTCAGGATTCCTCTCTTGCAGTAAACAGTACAGAGTTAATCTATAAACTGAGGTTTATTTCTTTAGTTCAGATTAAAATTAGGTCATTAACAGCGTAAATACAAGTTATGCGCTGTTATATATAACGTAGTTAAACAATCACAATATGGGTATGACAGAGTTATACATATTATATATACGTACATGGAATGGGTTAATCACAATACAGGATTAGCGTAATCACTATATGAACAATGTACGACGTAATTTACAATAGGCCTCAATATTTCCTACAGTCCCACATCATATTGGATTATATCTCGCCAAAATACCCACATATATTGGGCATACAAATCTTTATATTAGCCTTATACAATTTTTAAAAAATGTTTCATTCTTTTTAAATTTGTCTGATTAGTCCCGTAAATCTCAATTTATATAAACGGTCAAATATGATAAAATTGTAATGGTTCTCTGGAATAAAGACCCAACCGTTATATCCGCGTGGTACGGTCTGTATAATCCTTGTGTTTGGTATATGTTATATAAGCTCCCTAAACTCCAGATATATCCGCGTGGTACGGTCTGTATAATCCTTGTGTAAGGTATATGTTATATAAGCTCTTAACTCCAGATATATCCGCGTGGTACGGTCTGTATAATCCTTGTGTAAGGTATATGTTATATAAGCTCTTAACTCCAAATATATCCGCGTGGTACGGTCTGTATAATCCTTGTGTAATGGTATATGTTATATAAGCTCTAAACTCCAGATAGATTCTATTTGCTACACTCTAAGTCCTCTAAGAGCTAAGAGTTAAAACATAATTTTAATATTTTCTTCTCAGCATCTACTTAATCCACTTAATAGCAATACATTCCCTACACCCTGGGATCCTGAAAATATACTACAGTGCAATTAGTTAAACAGTGTTATTTATTAAAATCAGATCTAAAACATTAAATATGATTTGGGTATCTGCAACAGTTTCATTCTTATGACAAACTCACTTTGAAAGAGTTGAGTCTTTTCCACAAACTCTGATTTTCTAACCCCCATATCTTTGCAACCCAATGATGTAGACCTTAGATATTTAAAATTATGAATTCTGTTCCGATAAATTCTATTTTTCTAATCCATGTTACTATGCAAACCCATGGTGTAAACCTTTGATAATTCAAACTTAAACTATTAGTTCTAATAGAATTCAAATATCAAAGGTTATATATCAGGTTTCAAAGATATAGATTAGAAAATTGGAGATAGGGCGATTGTTCAGCTCCTAATATCAAGGAGTAGTTGAACCTCGTAGACTAAATTAAACCGCTTCTCATGTAAAGAGAAGTGGTTCAAACTACTTATTGCTATTCATTCAATTTGATCCCAGATTCATCCTTTGTCTAACAAATTTTAATTTGAAACGATTACGTGTTTAATCCCCACAAAAAAAAACTGTTTCATGTTGTGGTGATCTCGCATTGACCTTTAGAGGAGATTAACTTAATCCCTTGGACCAAAAAAGATAAGGATTTGTGCCTCATGGAGGGATTAAGGATATATAAGTTCTGACTCTGAACAGCTGATTATTTTCTAATTCATATCTATTCTAGACAAGAGAGGAAAGTGGCGATCTCCCAATCACTCATGATTCTCTACGGTTAGCAGATCAGGTTAGTTGCAGATCAGGTTGGTAGCAGATCAGGTTGATAGCAGATCAGGTTGGTAGCAGATCAGGTTGATAGCAGATCAGGTTGGTAGCAGATCAGGTAGGGAGAAGATCAGGTTAGTAGCAGATCAGGTTGGTAGTAGATCAGGTTAATTGCAGATCAGGTTAATTGCAGATCAGGTTGGTTGCAGAATAATAAGCATATCAGGTTAGTTGCAGAATAATAAGCATATCAGGTTAGTTGCAAATCAGGTTGGTTGCAGAATAATAAGCATATCAGGTTAGTTGCAGAATAATTAACAGATCAGGTTAGTTGCAAATCAGGTTGGTAGAAGAATAATGAGCACATTATCATCATCGAAAATAAGTAATCTCATTCAGTTATTGGTTTCTGTAATTTTTTACCAAATTGTTTTAAAATTCTACGGGCAACGTCGGACACTTCAGCTAGTGTTTGTAAAAGATCTTGATTTTCAGATAAGTTTTCACCAGTGCAGATGTTATTAGCGCCGATCTTACAGATTGCGCTAAAAAAAAACATAATGTTGTTATTTTGCTAACCTGACCGAAGCACCAGAAAATGAAAATATAAAAGAAAAATACGAATGTTAAAACAAGAACTTGTTTAGCTCAACTCAAACTTTCTTTTACCTGAACCTCTAAACAATCTGATCCAGCCAAGACATAAGTTCATCAGCTAAACAAAAGATTCTTAATTGAAGTTTAAAATAACTTTTTTATCACTTTTTTATAACAACTAAACTAAAAATAACGAGCCTAAGCTTGGTGACGTCACCAAGGTCGACTTGGTTTCTATATTTAGATATATCTATCTTTTAGAAACTATACCACTTACTTATGTATGAATGCATCTGATGGTGTTGAACCCTGCAGTTCCTGCATCCTCGTCTCATAATCCTATCATCCTTCCTACAACCCAGACCCAATCCATCAATCAATTTCAACCTTGAAACTTTTTCTTTTTTTCTTCCTTTATTCCTTGAAAGTTTTCCAATCAATCATAATTTCTCTTCTAGTTCACACCTTCAACTCTAGTTCTTTCACCAGTATTTATATTCTAACTACAGGCGGAGAAACTGGTGACAAAATGGAGAAAAACTGAAATTTAAAGGGACTGTTGGCGTAAATATGAGCAGTACCCTTTAATCTTTTTTCTGAGTAAGAATATAAAATATATCGTCGTTTTTCTTTGTTGAAAAGTGTTAAATTCTGATAATTTTCTTTATTGTTTCTGTTTGCATATAACCAAGCATGGCATTTGAGAATAATCAATTTTAAAAAAGAAAAACAAGAAACAAAAAACTGTGTTAGAGGTAACCCTGTGAATCGAACACGCCATTCTATACTTCGACGATCACTATAAATTATGTTTATCGTCAAACAGGAGTAAACAAAGATTTTATTTAATAAATCCCGTCTGATAAGACACAAAAGATTTGATTTAATTGAAAGCATAACTTCATTTCATGAGTGGCATTAACTTTATACACCCTGTAACTCCTTTATATATTATATATTGTGTAGATCGTTCTTTTCTCTTCTGAAAATTCATAAAATTTGAATGAGGCTTTTTTCTAGTAAGCAGCTTTTGGATTTCTACAGGAAAGCAAAACTTTTTGTTTTAATATTTGAGTGTTATTTAGAATTACTCTGAACTCCTGTAAGACTAAGAGTTAGGTTTATATTTCTCCCGGTTGAAACTACAACAGAAAGTTTATGATTATATTTCTCCAGGTTAGGACTTTAACAGAGAGTTTCAGTTTACTTTTCGGAAGATTTAAATTACAGCAGAGCGAAGAAGTTTAAGTTTTTATTTCTCTATGTTAATGACGAAATTTAATGAACCTTGCTATGAGCGTTTTAATTATTTATTGTAAATGAATTGTTAAAAATCTGTAAACAAATATTTTTCATGTTTTGCAAAGCTAAGGAATTTAGTTTTGGCCACAAAAATCTAATGTTCCATTCCCTATATCTGTGCAACCTGATGTCATAGAGATTGATTATTTCAAACTTTGAATTCTGTTAGCTCAAATAATCTAATTTTGAAAAATCTAAGGTTTTCCCCGCCAGGTTGCAAAGTTATAGGGATTAGAAAATCTAATATTGTGGCAAAGACTCAATTCCTTTATTTGTATTATTGTAGTATACAACGTACTTATGTATGGATGGATCTGAAGGTCTTGAAATGATCAGCTCCTGCAAAGAGTTAATGTTTGCATATCTCTAGGTTAAGACTATAGCAGAGCAGAGGGTTTATCTGGATGAAGCTAAAGAACTATTCTCTCTTCTAACCAACAAATGGATGCAGGTTGGTTTAATTCTTGTAATAAATATCAGGTGCAAACAGCAGGGGATCCTAGAAACTAGGAAACTAAAGAATACAGTTTTTAGTTTCAAAGGATTTTTATCTAATTCTTAAACTTTCCGATTCTTGATTTATTATCTGATCAGTGTTTACTGTATAGGTAGTTTTAATATTCAATTTATTTACATAATATTTTAGAAACATCATGCTTGTAAATAATCCTGAAAAAGAATTATGAATTCAAAAGAATGGAAGAGAATCCAAAAGTTAGACGAAGTGATCAGGAACCTGAAAATTAGAGAACTTAAGAAAAACCAAAAGTTAGATGAATTGAAAAGAAAACTATAGAAACTATAAGGATAAAAGAGAAACCTTGAAACTAGAGGATTGAAGAGAAACCTTAAAACTATAATGGTTGTGTATTGAAGAGAAACCTTGAAACCATGTAGGTTGTGTATTGAAGAGAAACCTTGAAACCATGTTAGTTGAGTATTGAAGAGAAACCTTGAAACCATGTTGGTTGAGTATTGAAGAGAAACCTTGAAACCATGTTGGTTGTGTATTGAAGAGAAACCTTGAAACCATGTTGGTTGTGTATTGAAGAGAAACCTTGAAACCATGTTGGTTGAGTATTGAAGAGAAACCTTAAAACTATGTTGATTGAGTATTGAAGAGAAACCTTGAAACCATGTTGGTTGAATATTGAAAAGAAACCTTGAAACTATGTTGGTTGAGTATTGAAGAGAAACCTTGAAACTATGTTGGTGGAGTATTGAAGAGAAACCTTGAAACCATGTTGGTTGAGTATTGAAGAGAAACCTTGAAACCATGTTGGTTGAATATTGGAGAGAAACCTTAAAACCATGTTGGTTGTGTAATGAAGAGAAATCTTAAAACTATGTTGGTTGAGTATTGAAGAGAAACCTTGAAACCATGTTGGTTGAGTATTGAAGAGAAATCTTAAAACTATGTTGGTTGAGTATGGAAGAGAAACCTTAAAACCATGTTGGTTGAGTATTGAAGAGAAATCTTGAAGCCATGTTGGTTGAGTATTGAAGAGAAACCTTGAAACCATGTTGGTTGAGTATTGAAGAGAAACCTTGTAACCATGTTGGTTGTGTAATTAAGAGAAATCTTAAAACTATGTTGGTTGAGTATGGAAGAGAAACCTTAAAACCATGTTGGTTGAGTATTGAAGAGAAATCTTGAAGCCATGTTGGTTGAGTATTGAAGAGAAACCTTGAAACCATGTTGGTTGAGTATTGAAGAGAAACCTGGATAAGGATAAATCTGACCCAGGGGAGATACTAAAGTATAACCTCATCCTTTAGTAGCATACTACAAGTATATTTAGAGACAAGAAGACGAGAACAGGAAAATATTTTTCTTTTCTTTAGATATTCTTATTTTTATAAATAATTGGATGTAATTCCCTTTAAATTGCATTACACTAAATACACAGATTGTGTGAACAAATATTTTCTCTAGATTTTAATATTTCTTTAGGTATGTGGTTTATCTCCAGATTCTGTCAAATATCGCAATATATTAAACATCATAACATAATGACACATATTAAAAATAAAGATCAAGTGATTTAATATAGGATCGATTTAAACTCAATTTTGGAGATTGTTAATAACAAAATTATTCGCCTTCGGATGTATGTTGGTGTGGTACAAATTGTGTACCCTTTAAATGGCGTGAAACATCTATATATAAATTTGGCTTGTCTGTCTGTTTGTTTGTCTGTCTGTTTGTATCCAAATACAGGAGAACTTGCCAGGTTTAAATAAGAACTGCTTTCTTGGAGAAACTGTCTATCTTTGATCTTTATCCTGTACTTAGTTTGGATAAAGTAGCAGTAAACTTGGGCAGGGGATGAACATATTTAGCTCATATATTTAGCTCAGGGGAGACGGATACTCTTCTCCAGATCTTGTATTATCCATATATTTAGCTTAGGGGAGACGGATACTCTTCTCCAGATCTTGTATTATCCATATATTTAGCTCAGGGGAGACTGATACTCTTCTTCAGATCTTGTATTATCCATATATTCAGCTCAGGGGAGACTGATACTCTTCTTCAGATCTTGTATTATCCATATATTTAGCTCAGGGGAGACTGATACTCTTCTCCAGATCTTGTATTATCCATATATTTAGCTCAGGGGAGACTGATACTCTTCTTCAGATCTTGTATTATCCATATATTTAGCTTAGGGGAGACGAATACTCTTCTCCAGATCTTGTATTATTTATATATTTAGCTTAGGGGAGACGGATACTCTTCTCCAGATCTTGTATTATCCATATGTTTAGCTCAGGGGAGACGGATACTCTTCTCCAGATTTTGTATTATCCATATATTTAGCTCAGGGGAGACGGATACTCTTCACCAGATCTTGTATTATCCATATATTTAGCTCAGGGGAGACGGATTTTCTTCTCCAGATCTTGTATCATATATTTTGCATATTTTTCTACATGGATATCCTGGTTAAGGTCGTATATTTTGATAATTAAGAACAGAGCATAAGACGAGTTTTTGAACAATCAATCCTAGAAATCGACACCACCCCCTTCCATTTTGGTATTGTGTCAGCTAGATATGAAAGGCAGGAGGGGAAGTTTCCACAACAAATCTTACATTATGAGACGGTACCTAGATGATTTGAAAAAGTATGGATATCTAAACAGGCCCGTAACCAGGATTTTCCCAAGGGGGGTGCAAAGAGGAGTGTTGTAGTTATGGGCCCAGGATCACCATGTGAAACGCAGTGAACGAGGCGGGGGGGGGGCGTAGAAAATTCGTCATTGCACCCCCCTTTTTTGAAAAAGGGGGTTGCACATGACCCCTGGCACCCATCCTGGTTTCGGGCCTGTATCTAAGTAAAGGTATCCTAATAATATAGTACGGGTTTCCTATTACAGAACAGACATTTTGAATATAATGGGTTTCCTCGGATAGAAGGAAAATGATGTAAAACCTAAATATTAATCAAAGTTCAGAACATACATTTAAATTCAAAACAAATATTCAAGTTCAAAATGTAAATTTCAGATTTACCCAGATTAAGCACGAATATTCCGGTTGAGAACGAATATCCAGGGTAAGGACGTATATCCAGGTTAAGAACGAATATCCAGGGCAAGGACGTACAGTCCAGGTTAAAATGAATATCCTGGTCTAGGACTTATATCCATGTTAAGAACGAATATCCTGGTTAGGAACAAATATCCTGAGCCCGCGATTTAAAAACTTCGGCTCGAGTCGTAACTCCTTAAACCCGACTTTAAGACCCAATCTTCGGCCCAACTCTGACGACAGCTTGTGTCACGTGATTGACAGCTGCGAGATCTTAGGCTCGACTTAAGGAGTTAAGCCCAATGAAAATAAAACCAACCTTGGTTGGTTTTAGTGAATAATAAGGCTCAATAATGGGTCTTATTCTCATCAAAACCCGGAATGCACCAATTCCAACTATGAAAATCTGCCAAATACAACATTAAACCGATTTTATGAACTAAATTCTGTTGAAAAATAGATGCAACTTAAATTCGAAAGCCCGAGCCGTAAATAAGGCTCAACAACAGCTTAGACCCGAGTCGTATTTTCTTGAATTTTTTAAATTGCCGGCCAGATTAAACATATATATCCAGGTTAAGAACGTGTATCCAGGTCCATGTGGGAGTTCATGTTGCAGATCCATGAGATCATGTTTTCCAAGTAAAGTTTGCAAGTTGTGACACATGTCTCGGAGCAAACTAAAAACTGAAAAACAGAAATGTAATCTGACTTGAAAGAATCTTTTCCTGTTAAATCTAAACTTTGAAACTTAAATCATCGAGTTTGAAACTTCTTTACCAGGGGAATTTACATCCTTTCATTCTTTTTCTCTCTTGTCATTCATTAAAAATAATAGAGAAGGTAAATGGGTGTATGACGAAGGTATATGATTTATAAAGAAGATATATAGGATGTTTAAAGAAGGTATAGGATGAATAAAGAAGGTATATGATTTAAAAAGAAGGTGTATTATTTATAAGGAAGGTATATATAGAAGGTGGATAGGATGTATAAAGAAGCAATAGGATGTAGAAAGAAGGAATAGGATGTATAACAAAGGTATCTAGGATATATAAAGAAGGTATATAGGATGTATATAGAAGTTACATAGGATGTATAAAAAAGAAATAGGATGTATAACAAATGTATCTAAGGATGTACAAAGAAGTTATATAGGATGTATTAAGAAGGAATAGGATGTATAACAAAGCTATCTAGGTTGTATAAAGAAGGTATATAGGATTTATAAAGAAGGTATATAGGATGTATAAAGAAGAAATAGGATGTATAAAGAAGGTATATAGGATGTATAAAGAAGGTATATAGGATGTATAAAGAAGGTAATAGGATGTATAAAGAAGAAATAGGATGTATGAAGAAGGTATATAGATGTATAAAGAAGGTATATAGGATGTATAAAGAAGGTATATAGGATGTATAAAGAAGGTAATAGGATGTATAAAGAAGAAATAGGATGTTTAAAGAAGGTATATAGATGTATAAAGAAGGTATAAGATGTAAATATATATATAGGAGGTATTTAGGATGTATAAAAAAGGTATAAGATGTATAAAGAAGGTATGTATATAAAGAAGGTATATGATGTATAAAGAATACTAAATCATATTTCAGCTCCAGACGGCCATAGAGGAGAGTGTAGAGTTCATAAATTTAAAAATTCAACCAACTCTCACATTGAGCCAAACCAAACCTTGTGTTTGTGTGGAAACCTCAGATAGATCGGGAAAGGTAAAACTGAGTTTTCTTAATCAAATTAATAATATCAACTTTTAAAGTTTAAATCCCTGCATGATAATTTATTAATTTATACCCCCGAAAAGGTACATTTACACATTTAATTATCTCCTGAAATAATATTTTGTAAGAGATTTCACCCCTGGAATAATATTTTGTAAGAGATTTCACCCCTGGAATAATATTTTGTAAGTTTACACCCCTGAAATAATATTTTGTAAGTTTACACCCCTGAAATAATATTTGATAAGTTTACATCCATGAAATAATATTTTAAGGTTACACCTCAGAAATAATGATTTATAAGTTTACACCCCTGAAATAATATTTTATAAGTTTACACCCCTAAAATAATATTTTGTAAGTTTACACCCCTGAAATAATATTTGATAAGTTTATCCCCCTGAAATAAAATTTTGTAAGTTTACATCCCTGAAATAATATTTTAAGGTTTCACCTCAGAAACAATGATTTATAAGTTTACACCCCTGAAATAATATTTTATAAGTTATACCCTTGCAATAATATTTTAAAAGTTTACACCCCTGAAATAATATTTTATAAGTTTACACCCCTGAAATAATATTTTGTAAGTTTACATCCTTTATTTTATAAGTTTACACCCCTGAAATAATATTTTGTAAGTTTACACCCCTAAAATAATATTTTATAAGTTTACACCCCTGAAATAATATTTTGTAAGTTTACACCCCTGAAATAATATTTTATAAGTTTACACCCCTGAAATTATATTTTGTAAGTTTACACCCCTGAAATAATATTCTGTAAGTTTACACCCCTGAAATAATATTTTGTAAGTTTACTCCCCTGAAATAATATTTTGTAAGAACAAGATTGGAGATTTTTATTTTCAACACATTGCATTTTCTCACGTTAGTTTTGTATCCTGTGGCTTTCAACCAAATATTTTTTCTACTTTTTTCAAGACAATATTCATATTAAAATAATCAATTCATCAATTACTCAATAGTAATGATGTTAAAAAAATACCGATATCTAAAATGTCTTGCATTAATAAAGTTCATACAGAGGTCGCTAAGTAAGAGAAAAAAGACGACATAAAGTCAATTTAAAAAAACAAGGTTTATATCGCGAACACTAAAATCTCCCTAGATTGGACTAATTCATTTGGTCCCTGTCCCGTTTTGTCTGATCTAGTCAGTATCCTTGATATTCTCTTAATATTTTATTTTAGAGACTATATCGTACATGCATGATTAATGATAATTAGTATTTTGTTTAGTTTTATATCCGTGCCTTGTACAGCTATCAACCCAAGAAAGATACACTTCTACCCTGTACAGAGATAGGGTTGGCATTCAAATCCGGAGATATTTTAGAGGTATTTATTTATTATCCGGAGATATATTTGAGACATATTTATTATCAGGAGATATATTTGAGGTATTTATTTATTATCAGGAGATATATTAGAAGTATTTATTTATTTATTATCCAGAGATATATTAGAGGTATTTATTTATTTATTATCCGGAGATATATTAGAGGTATTTATTTATTTATTATCCGGAGATATATTAGAGGTAATTATTTGTTGCGTACAAAATTTGGGTGTGTTTTTGTACTTAGAAATTCAGGTAATTAGGTATTTAAGTAACGATGCAATATATGCCCCCCCCCTCCCTCCTCAAGTATTATTTAACCATTCTAGTAAATATATGCCCCCCCCCTCCTCAAGTATTATTTTCAATTCTAGTAAATATATTCCCCCCCCCCCTCCTCAAGCATTATTTAACCATTCTGGTAAAGAAATGCCTCCCAGTTGGTTGAATAATGCATTTTTACTGCAAAGTTCTTATTCCCGAGCTATCTTGCTCCGGGCAATATTTAATTTTATCAAAATATCCTTCCTAGTATCCAGCAGTGTTCCTCAGTAAAAGGAGGGTAAAGAAATGGAAAGTTTTCACATATGTTGAATGAAATAAATAATTCAAAAGCAAAAATAGAAGAACAAATTTGAAATTTGACAAATGAAATGAAAAGATGAAAGAAAATAAACTTAAATAATTAAAGTAAAGTAACATCTAATTTTGTAAATAACTTTATTGGAAAGTAAAACTTACCACGCGGAAAAGATCATGAAGGGGAAAGTAAAACCAAAAAGTAAGAGAAAAGGAAGCTTCAAAAGGAAAAGTAGTACCAGTATAAGATTAGGAAAGAAAGCTTTAAGGCGAAAGTAAAGCCAAGAATAAAGATAAGTAAAGAAAGCTTGAAAGGGAAAGTATTATAAAGAATAAAGAGTGGAAAGAAAGCTTGAAAGGAAAAGTATAACCAAGAATAAGAAGAGAAAAAAACTTGAAAGGAAAAGTATAAATAAGAAAAGAAAAGGAAGCTTGAAGGGAAAGTTAAACCAAGAACAAAAAGAGAAAAGAAAGCTTGAAGGGGAAAGTATAAACAAGAACAGGAAAGAAAGCTTGAAGGGGAAAGTATAAACAAGAACAGGAAAGAAAGCTTGAAGGGGAAAGTATAACCAAGAATGAGATAATAAAGAAAGTTTGAAGGGGAAAGTATAACCAAGAGTAAGAACAGGAATGAAAGCTTGAAAGGAAAGTATAAACAAGAATAGGAAAGAAAGCTTGAAGGGGAAAGTATAACCAAGAATAAGATCGGGAAAGAAAGCTTGAAAGGGAAAGTATAAATAAGAAAATAAAGAAAGTTTGAAAGGGAAAGTGTAACCAAGAATAAGATAAGGAAAGAAAGTTTGAAAGGGAAAGTATAAATAAGAAAATAAAGAAAGCTTGAAAGGGAAAGTGTAACCAAGAATAAGATAAGGAAACAAAGCTTCAAAGGAAAATTATAAGAAGAAGATAAAGAAAGCTTGAAGGGGAAAGTATGATAGTAATTATGTGATCGTGCGAAAAGCAATAATTTATTTTCTAGGTTACCCGCAGCTAGAAATATCTGACTATATATATAATCATTTTTTAGCATTAGTACCATGCAACAGTCATATTCGTTCTATTTTTACTTCCTTCAGTCTTTGCACACATTTTCTAGTTTTGCACTTTCCCTTTAAGCCTGCAGGTTTATTCTCTAAGGTTACTCGATCCTTAAATTTATCAAAACAAATTGTTACTAAAATTTAACAACTGAGTTAATTATGATCGGATTTTTTTTCATGATTTTAATATCATAAATTAGAGACATCACGCTGAAACTATATAAAAAAGACTTTATAATCCAGTTTATAAACTTTATTCAGGTTGTATGCAGTCAAGATCCGAGCTGGTGGCAGGCCAGGTTAGAAGGAGAAGAAACTATAGGTTTAATCCCTTCGTTAGACCTGGAGGAGAGAAGAAAATGTTTTGTGGATAAAGATGATCTCAAAAAAAAATTCTCTTGTTGTGGTTCGTCGGTTAGTTATCTCTTTAAAAATCAACCGACTCAATTTAGAACTTTTAAACCAAACTAAAAACATTCCTGTCGTTTTACCGAGATCCACAATTTAAAATTTGAGGCAAATCGGTCAAGGGTTCCTGATTTATGATCGGACATCCAAACAAACAAAAAAAGATTACTACTTTATATAGAAGACAGGATTAACCCCAAAGGATTGAGACTTCTGATTTTATTCAACTTCTTATTTCTTCAATTCACAGTGATCCCTGCAAATGTAAACTTATTTTATCTCTTTGACACACCCTTTATAAGCACTTACTCTGCAATGTTATACTGAAGGTTATACCTTTTACTGAAGACCGAATTCATTCTTCGGGTTACTGGTTTATTGAGTTTCTTTAATAGGTCGCCATTTCAGTCTCACCCTTTTTAATTACTGTGAAAGATTATACTTAAAAATAACATGTTTTTTTAGAAAAAAGAAAAGAAGAGGTTTGGTTACCATTTCCGGAAAAATGCCGAGGTTGACCGTGCAGATCTTCAGCTGTATGAAGCGGTTGAGAGAATGCCGCCATTTACGAGGTAGAATATTTTCCCGCATTTATTCATCGTCTTAGTTCACTTAGTGACGGACGTCAAATCAAGGGTGAAATATAGTTATTTGATAAATTGTTTATGAAAGCTGTCATTAAACATTGACAGAGAGATATTCTAAATATTCAAATATCCAATTAAGTTGCATGGAAGTTTTCATATTTGAGTTTCAACAGGGAAACTTGTAATAATATTTCTTGAATCTGATTTGAATTATAATTCCAATTTATTTCCAGGAAAAGTCTAGTTCTGGTTGGACCCCCAGGAGTCGGTAGAAGATCTTTAATCAATAAAATAGTTAATTCTGATCTTAAACTGTTCGGGACTACAAAGGCTGGTGAGTTAAATTAACATATTTTTTATTCCAAAGCTTGATTCTTGTTTTTGTGAGACAGAATCCAGAAAAAATGTCTTCCACATAAATTACACTAGAAAGGGGTCATTTTATTTGCTGTACTATCCCGGTTTGCTGTACATTTTTGTAAATTGTAACTGTATTATACAGCTTGCTCCAGCTACATTAAAATCTAAAGGCAAAAATTATATTAGTGATAAATTTACACGTAATAAATCCGTCCATCTTTGAATAGGCACAATGGTACCCTTTAAACCTTTTTTCGTCATCGATGGCAGAGAAATCCTTATGTTTATCTCTAAAAGTGATGTCCAAACCATGCTGGGAAACATGAGTGTGCGCTAGCGTACACTTTAAACTCAACGCAGCTGACTTCACATATTTTTCGAAAATCCCGAATATTCTATATCAAAGGGGGTTTAAAAGAATTTTATTAAAAATATTTATTTTTCTGTGACTTCTATAAATTAAATAGTTTTATAATGTAAATGCAATTTGCAAACAAAATTCTCAACAATTACAAAGGTTGCTGAAGTGGTTAAAATATGCACAGTCGTCATGCATGCTCGCAGTCAAAGGTTTAAAGGGTACCATTGTAAATCGGCCAAGCTAAGAGAGGGTCACATCAAATGCCGTCAGTAGTTCCTTTAAGTTCCCTAAATTCCGAACACAGAAGGACTGGTGAGAGTCTCCGGGGGTTCCCTTCGCCACTCAACTTAACTTTAATTGGATTTAAAACAAAGAGAATTAAAACACAAACTCAGGACTTCTCCCCTTCCTGTAGAACTAACTAGAGGGAAATTATACATTAATAGCTTGGAAACCCAGCTTTGTCTGAAAACTTAACTTTCTCTAAAAAGCCAACCTACTCAATTTAGAATCTTGAAACCAAGCTAAGACCATTTCCGTTGTTCTAAATTCTACCGAGTTCATTCGAGGTCAAAGGGTACATGAGTTATGATTGGACATACATACAAACAAACAGACAAACAGAGATTACAACTTTATATATATAGATGATATCTTGGAAACCCAATTTACTAAAAACTAAAATTTACCTATATTAACCCATTCAACTAGAATATTTAACCCTAATCAGAAAAAACATTCACTTGGTTCTATCCTGTTTAACAATTAAAATTTGGGGCGAATTGATCAAGTTGTTCGTGAGTTATGATCGGACATACAAACAAACAAACAGATATTACTGCTTTATATATATGTAGGTACTTCTTGTTCTTATATACTTTTAGTATTAGTTTTTAATTTAGTATATATATACACTAGCTTCGTCGGGGAGTTCCTCCTATTCGACCCAGTCATTTAAATTTTAAACCAAGCTGAGAACATTCCTATGGTTTTACCGAGTTTCCCAATAAAACGTTGAGGCAAAGCGGTCCAGGGGTTCATGAGTTATGATTATTAGACATTTTACCCAACAAAGCTGTATTTTTATTTGATATAAAAAAAACAGAAAAGCCAAATATATACATATTTAGTCATAAATAGAGATTATTCACAAATTGTTGTGAATTTTGTTAATAATTACTCGGTCCCCTCGAATTTAGTCTCACAGATCTAGCGTTAAATTAAATTCAAATATTTTCAATTTATTTCCTGCTTATTTATAGTTTTCCGTGTTTCTGGAGTTATTTCAATTAAAAATTATCGGAAAAAATAATCTTGCATTAGTCGATTAAAAATGTTACAAATACCTTTTCAAATTAATTTTGATTCATTGAAGCATAAAATTTAATATTTATTTGCTATATTTTTAACTTCCTCTTTTAAACCTTACTTTCGAAATAAAAATAAAATTTAAAAAATTAGGCAAAAAATGTCTTCCAATTTTCCGAAAATTGATATTTTTAGTGACAAGTAGACCGAGGGGAGAATACGAGACGGACGGAGACATGTTCTGGTTCGTCTCAGAGGACGAGATCATGACGAGCATAGATAGGGACGAATTTTTAGAGGTAAGTAAAAATAGTTCAGAATTTTCCTGCTTCAAAATGAGCACCATTTTTCTGTGTTTTTACTTACACATATAAATGGATACATTAGTTTTACGTTCTCATTCAGCATACAATCTGTTGAATTTGGGTCTGAAACATAGACAAGTTGAAGTTTAGTTCGACAGTTCAGTGAAAATATGGACAGAAGAATTGAGTCTTTGTCACAAACTCAAATCTGTGTCAAAATTTAATATTCGTTTGTTTGTAAATTGTAATAAACTATACAAATCTTTGCAACCTGTCGGTAGACCTCTGATGATTTGATCTAACAGATTTATATCAGAGCTTGGAATGTCTCAGGTTTACAACATTGGGATACAAAGATATAGGGATTAGAAAGTCAGAGTTTGTGGCAACAACTCAATTAATTTGATCTTCATTATACTAAAACAGTCTTGCATCAACTTTCATGATTGGGTTGAATTTGAAATGACTCAACGCCATCCATGGGCTTGGATTTCCGCGCAAAAGCTGGTTTCTTATTTTTGTACTCCATGTACATTTTAGAAATATTAAGCCCTTGCTTATATTTTGCGTAATTCGCATCAATTTCTGCGTTAGAGCTTGCAACCCTAGGATCATTGTGCGTTAAAATATATAGTGGAAGAGAAAGTAACGCATTCAGAAAAACAAAACAGAAAAATATATTTAAAATATAAATCTTATTTATGTTGAGGGGGGGGGGGGAACAAGGATTATATGTTTTGAAAATCCTGAATGCAGAGTGTAAATTATCTTTTCAAGATATTGGAGAATATTAAATATTTTTTCTATCTTTCTGTCCGTCAAACTTTCTAACAATGCATTTTAGAATTTTCTGGTCAAAATATTTATTTTTATAGATATGTTAAATGTATATATATACCATGTTTATTGACTGAAAATGAGCAAACCGAAACAATATGTATTAATAAATATAAAAATAAATATATATATTATTATATATATATTATGTAATATATAAATATAAATATATATATGTTTATTAGCACGTCGTTGTGCACCTTCGTTAAAGTAATCTCAAACAAACTTAGAATGAAAAATGAAGTTTACGTTGCATTTTAAGAAAGATGAAAAATAGTTTTGTTGACACTAAATTTAGATTTTTAAAGTACAATTGTTGCCTGTACAGTGTACAGCAACAAAATTTGGTTTCACAAAATTAAAATCAGAATATTTGTTTATTTTTTTGTTTATCGGGTCAAATTACCAATTTGCATTTATATATTAAATATATTTTTGAAATTTTGCATAAATCTGTAAAGGTAACTGAGAAGGATGGATATCTGTACGGTACAACTTATCAGTCTATTAGAACCATCATATCACAGGGGAAGCTTTGCTTGATTGATTGCAAACCGGAGGTAACTTTTCAAAATTTGTTGCGGCATTCCTTTTTTAAAACATATCTTTATTCTTTATCTTCAATATTTATAGCTTAAAAGGACTTGAGCTTAATTTTAATCGGCTTTCCATGCAAATATGGCATTGTCCGATTCACAACAGTACCCTTAGAAGCTTTGTCGCGCCCCGGTTTAACCAGTGCAGTTTCTTCTCTTTAAATTCAAATAAAAGTGGAGTCTTAATAAATAAACCGTTAAACCCCCGTGGTCGGTCTAATTAAGTATGAATAAGATATTTTACTTACTTACAAGAAAAGCGACAATATCATCCACATTATTGATCAGATTTAAAGCGTACCGTTGTGAACCAGTCCCTTGAAATTACGTTTAAAATCCATTTTATTCGGAAAATACTGACAGTCCAAATAATAACTACTACATTTTGTATGGAAAAATAAAACTTTTTGATTTTACCTTTGAATGTATATCATGTAAAATTGCAGCTTTTTCCCATTTCTTTCTATTTCTTAAGAACAACATAAAATAGCGAAAAGAAAAATATATTATTTTTTATGAAACTATTGTGTACTTTATCATTCTTACTCACTTCATGTAGAAGTTTCTCGCCTTTTTAGATTATATTTTGTCCCTCACTAAAGCTCGGAACAAAATAAATTTATAAAGGCTTGAATCTTCTCGATAAAGAGAAAATTTCTGTCAAAACTTTTTAACACTGTGAATCAAAATAACAGTGTAATAAATAGTTATTACATGCCTATAAGTAAACTAACCCTCCCCCCCCCCCCTCCTCCTGAGTTCTGACTATGAATGGAAGGTAAGCTAAATTTACTCTCGCATAAAAGAGAAATGTAGCTATGTAATTTTTCAAATTCCTGACAGTAGGAAGAAATAAAGTCCGTAAATGACATTGCATCAACATTTAATGCTAGATTAAATCTTTTAAATGTTTATAAACATTAGAATCCCACACTGATCTATGGGATAAACTTTTAGAAAATCGCTTAGACTGTTTCAAGTTCCAGAGCTTGCGAGCTTTTGTGTTGATTTAGATATCCACTGTGGACATTTTTAATCTCGTTAGTTATTCATTCACTGACCAAAGCTCCTATACTAGACCCCTGTCCATGTTGTCTACCGAATAAAGATTAAATTAATCTCAATCCACGGAATTTAAATAAGATATTTCATTTAAAAAGTGTTCACTGTTTACACCCAGTTCAGTCGCCGAAGCTAAGCGCTTTCTCCCAAAAAAGTTAATCCCTTTATTTTATTTACATAAATTAAAACTGATCCTTGGTGAATATTTTTTTAACATGATAAAATAACATTAAGGTCATATTTAAGACAGTTTTTGGAAATATTGAAAAACTGCAAAAATATCAATTGACAAACTATGTGAAGTGTAAAAGTCCGGAACCGCGCTAATGCATTTATCAAAGAAAGTATTTTCTTAATGAAACTTCTTCTTCGCATAGCCGGCAAAACTGTCAAAACATGAAAAAAGGTTTGAATCGTAAAGGACAAAATCTTACTGTAGGATCAGAAAAGTAGTTTTGCCCCCGCTTTCTGAGGAAACAACGTTTACTCCTATCGTTGTATATTCTTTAGATTATGATAAAGTTAAAGTTTTGACTTTAACTTTTATGATTAATGTCTCAAAACTTGAGAATTTGGTGAGATCGGACCTATATTGTTCTTGCATGCATTCATAACTGTAATCAAAAGTATTGAAGAAAAAAGAAAAATTTTCAATTGTTACAAATGATTCATTTCTAATCATTTTTAGATCATTTTCTAAGTAATAGTTTATTAGCAAATTAGAAAAATCCTTTCTACAAAACAATTATTTAAATTGTAAAAAATGCGATGTGAATTCCACTTTTTTCTGATTCCACTGTATAGAAATCAAATTTGGAATGCTTGAATCATAATAATGCATCTGTTCAGAGGCCGAATTTAAAGAATTTGAGCCAAGGTTTAAATTTAAGCCGCGGCTCAATTATGGTTGGTTCCACTTAAAATTGTATTAATTGTTTCAAGATTAAAGCCGGCGCTCAATTGAAACCGGTTTTTGGCGGATTTAGGACGCGACTCAAATTCATTAAATTCGGACACAGATTTGAGAAATGCTTTATTTAAAAACTTCAACAGAAAAACTTCGTCAATGCTTTAACTTAAAAATCCAATTACAAAACAGGATATATGTAGTGCAGTACCGGATATGGCCAGGCCGGAACTAATTAAGATAATTAGGTCCCCCTAGGGCGTATACAGGATGGGGGGAAGCACCTATGGTAGCTGAGCCCCAACCTGGAAATGTGGTGGCTACGGGTATTACCCCCCGTGAAACCCCCCCCCCCCATTGGACAAATTTCTGAATACGCCCCTGAAGTCCACCATCCCCCTGGATAAATTCCCGTATACGCCCCTGAAGTCCACCATCCTTGAATTTCATAGATTGAAGTGTTGTCTAAAGCAGATGATTGTCTGTTTCAAAGAATGCTTCAATTAATTCAAATTTGAATATTTTCAATCTGTTTAAAGTGAAAATAATTTTGAGAATTTCCCGCCGGGAATACTTTAGATTGTGACTTCCTTTGTACTCAGAGGTGTCCCAAAAATATAAAGGAACTTTATAATGTTATTTCCTTTGTACACAGAGGTGTCCCAAAAATAAAAAAGGAACTTTATAATGTTATTTCCTTTGTGCACAGAGGTGTCCCAAAAATAAAAAGAAACTTTATAATATTATTTCCTTTGTACATGTACAGATGTTTTTTTCTCCAAAAATATCATTGATCCAAGGAAAGCAGTGAGAAATTAACATTTTTCATTTCGTAATGTTTTGCTAGTTGCAATCACAAGTATTTTTTTCACAAGATTAATAAATAAATACATCACGTTCTTCATTTCATCTTTTAAATTTAGTTCATGATTAAATCTGGTTTACTTCCGATTTTAAAGATTTGCAATGATTTGTCTTTCCCTTGGTTTCTATGAAACTGCACTTTTAAGGTTTACTGTTTAATTAACAACAATGAAATGCAATTTGTCTTGAAATTAATGAAATAGTCATCAAGTTTTTCTAAGACGTTGTACTTGTAATTGTAATTATTTTGCAGTTTTTTAAAGCTGACAACAAGATAATAGTTAAGAGAAATAATTAGTTTTTTCCTTTGAAAATCTTTTTTGATTTTGTATCAAATAATTGTTTTAACAGATTACCTGAACCACTTCTATCCCCACCAACCCCAATAAGATAAAAATCCAGAGAAATTGTCAAATTTTCATACATATTTTCAACCGTTTAAAAAAACCTACCCTGGTTAGATGGATTCAAACGCCATACAAAATTGTAATTGCTTATTTGCAATTGCTTATGCCTTGTAGTAGAGTAAAAATATAAATAATCATAAATACGTCATTTTTTAAGATATTCGTCAAAAGCTTTTCGTAAGTCTAAATCAGTTTCCGTTAGAGTGAGGTCAGGGGGCTCAAGGAACTGTTTTGTTCTAAAGTCTAAATGCAATACAAGATTATATACAGATTATGGACATCAGCTTATTCTCCATAAAAAAGGCATGTCCGATTCACAACGGTAACCTTTATAATCTTATCGTGGATAACAAATCTATTCTGTTTTCTGAATATCTAAAAATTTATTATTTCAATTGGGAGTCTTTTCCTGCAAACTACAATTTTCTAATCCCTCTATTTTTTCAACCTGATGGTGTAAACTTTTAATATTTTAAACTTTGATTATTTAATCAGAAATATCTAAGGTCAACCATATTGGGCTGCAAAGATATAGAGATTAGAAAATCTGAGTTTGTGGCAAAGACTACATTTCTTTAATTATACAATTAATAGGACTGTATCGAATTTCAAGTAAACCTATATTATTTTCAGTTAAGAAGAAGATCTGTATCTTCAACCTCAGGTTTACTCGGATAAAGGTGTAAGGAGTATCGTTGTTAATCAGACATGCCATTTTATTAACGGAGAGTTTCTTGAAATTCGTCTACAGTTCCTTTTATTGTTTAGACGTTGAAGATTCTGCATCAGAGTTCTGAGATAATGCCCTTCGTTGTATTCCTCCACGCTCCATCAATACAGAGTCTCAGGAACATGGAGCAGAATATCTCTAACATCAACCATAATGGAAACTCACATCGAATAAATTCGGTAAACTGCATGCATCATTGGTTCTTAATTAAATCAATTATAGTTTGCTTTCATGTCAATTGCTTCTTAAAGCATTCCTTTTTTGAAGTGCTTAGGATCCATTTTATTTTGATGCCTATCCGGATCCTGGATCCCCCAAGAAAAAAGTGGATTCGGATCCAGGTCATGAACAATTCTCTCGCTTTTTTAATGCTGAAAGTTGTATCATTCAAAAATAAAGAAATTTTAATAATCTCTCTTTTTTCATCAACTAAGATTTGGGTTTTGTGCGCAAACTTTGTTTTTAACAGTTTTTGGTTGATGTTTTCTTCTTTTGTTGCGTATCCGCACTGCTTTTTTGGATAAACTTTTTTATCAGAATTGTATTTTAAATGATCTTTAATATTGAAAAATCCAACCTGAGTTGGGATTTTCATTTTGCCCTTTCTGTATCCATCTTTTATAATTAATTAAATTTTTCGGATTCGTTAGACATTTTCTAGCTTCGACTTCCTCGCCTAGCTAGCATGGGAAATCGCAGCTTTTTTAACGAATCGGATAATATTGACTATCGGCTGTACAGAATCCGTGTATTGTTGGGACCGAGAGAAGACGACAATTCAGACAGGATCCAACTTCTATAGAGAAACAAGTACCTTGAGTGTTTTCTTCCTAACCTTTCCTAACATATAGAGATAAACAATTACCTTGAGTGTTTCTTCTTAACCTTTCCTAACATATAGAGATAAAAAAGCACCTTGAGTGTTTTCTTCTTAACCTTTCCTAACATATAGAGATAAAAAAGCACCTTGAGTGTTTTATTCTTAACCTTTCCTAACATATAGAGATAAACAAGCACCTTGAGTGTTTTCTTCCTAACCTTTCCTAATTTCAAGTGAGCATCCATGCAAAGACAGCAATGCCCGATTTACAACGGTGTCCTTGAAACCTTAAAACCTTAATCTGATCAAAATATGGAGGATAACGTCGATTTAGTTTCACCAGTGTTTCTGTTTGCGCAGAAATGCGCAAGTCTCTTATGCAGAGAAACCAAAATAAAAACAAACAGTTTAAATAAACAAAAACATGGAAATTGAAGGGTACCGTTGTAAATCGGGCATTGCCATGTTTGCATTGAGGGTCACTTGAATTTACGTTTACATTTTACAGTCCCTCTAAGAAAACACCACTGGTCGGTGATCCTAATTTAATATAAAATTTCCAAACCTCCATTTTATTTTTCTCTTTATCTAAATTGAAAATTTATCAAGTAAAGCGGTGCTTCCATGTTATCTTCCCAGAATAAGAGCCAAATTGAGTACTTTTTAACATTTTTACTTTCATAACTGCAGTAGATATGCCTTCTTGTACTGTAGCATCTTTGTGTCCTGTGTAATACATACTTATCTTCTTCTATTTTACTGGTATAAATAAAACCTCTAGTTTTCCTTCTATTCCTAATTTTAATCTAGAAATTCTTCTTCAGAGCATTTTCTTTTGAACATTTATATTGTGGTTCAGTGAATAAATTTTACTTCAAGTTAATGATTCATCTTGTCAACTTTCACAAGATTCATTGCTCTGCAATTCTATCCTGCACCAATTCAACCAACATTTCAGAGAGAATAATTTTACAAACTTTTAAACTGAGACTATTCACATTTTTATACGGTGGTCGTCTTTTAATTATATCAATACAATGAATACGAATTTTCTATTTAAGTTTTGATTTCTAACAAGCTTTTTTGAAAAAATTACAAGTTTACAAATTGACAAATACTAATTAAATTAACTACTTCTCCTTGTTTCCATGTTTATGTGTATCCAATATCCATGCTGTTGGAAAGCTTGATAGAAGTAAAAAAATGAATTTGAAAGTCGACTCCGTTGTATTGATATAAACGACTACGACGACTGTAAGAAACATAACATTTAGCTCATAAAATCGAATAACCTAAATCATTTTTAAATTACAAAGTTATTTTTAGAAATATCGTAGACTTTTATACTTTCTCTTGAATTTTTTATCAATCATCAAATACCTAATGTCTACCCTCCCTACAGTAAAAAAAACACTCATTCCACTTTAAAGGAATGAAGTCTTTACCTCAAACTCAAATGTTCTAATTCCTATATTTTTGCAATAATAATTTAAACTTAGATTATTTGATCTAATAGAATTCATTTAGTTTGAAGTATCTAAAGTTGGGTTGCAAAGATAAAGGGATTAGAATATCAGAATTTGTCTTCCTTACTTTATGCAAAATTTGTGTGAAAAAATACGCAAGAAATAAATATCGTTTTATAACGAACGTTTTTTGGTTTGTTTTTATTTTTTATTTTATGGTTGAACAAAAATATTCAGAGTTTGATAGAATTATGAAATGTTTAAAAATGAACCATATAACGATCATCAACCCTTTACCTTTAAAACATTATTTTTAAAATAGTGCAATTTAATAGTTAATTAATATAAGGTTTCCCTCTAAGAAAGAAAAACATTATTTCCCCTTCCATAGCTCTCATGTTTTTACTTGAAAAACATGTTTTTACATTGAAATAATGCAATAATATTTATTTTTATTTTCACAAAATCGATGCCATTTCACAAATTCTATTGAAACCTAATAATGGTCATTCAAAAAAATATTAATTTATTTTAAATTACTTTTATGACACCCTCCCCCCTCCCTCCTCTACCCAATTTTATTAGTTTATTACTAAAGTAAAATTATTTTTAGTTGTAAAATAATTCAGCGCCTTGACAACAGTTAAAGCATGAAATTAGGGCTCGGCAACATTTTAACATAATTCCCCCCCCCCCCACAGTAAAAATACACTCAGTCTCAAACTCCAAAAATGAAATCGTTTCCTCAAACTTTAATGTGGCCCAATATTGTATACGCAATTATACTTTTTTATAATAGTTTAAATAATTAAATGAATTTCTTTACAAAACTCGAAACTAACTTCAAGTTATTCAGCCCTCCCTCCATCAACGGTGCACCATCCTTAGGTTTCATATCAAAGATATAAGGATTAGCAATTTTGAGTTTGTGCTAAGACTTAATTTCTTCATAGACTCAAACTACCTTTTTTGTGTAAAGTATTTTAAAGATCCCAAAAAAAGCGTTTGTTCTTATTAAGTTATAATTTTAAACGCGCGCGTCTACAAATCTAAGGGTTTCAATAATCTGAATATATTAAAAAAGACTTTTATAGCTTGTTATATTAAAAACTAGCTGGGGTGCCTGGCGTTGCCCGTGTTAAAAAAATAAAATCGTGAAAAAAATTTTAAAAAAGTTTGAAAAAAAAATATTTCGAATTTTTTTAGTTTATATATTACCCCCAGGGTACCCGGTACCCCTGGGGTTCCCTCAAAACATGTCAGCCAATTTGGTCGGCTATAGCTTTCATTTAAATGAATATATGAGCGGAGAGCTTTATCATATAAACTAGTTGGAGTGAGAGGGTTTTCCCAGATTTACATCATGTTTCATAATCATTATTATTTCCGCCGTTTACCCGCGTTTGGTATTAAATCCATGAATTAAGGTGAAGTGCCCGGGGTTGCCCTTGGAAATATTAAAAAATCCATTTTTTAGCCTATGTTACCTATTCCCTATTTCATTACCTAATCATCAGGGTTTGATGGAGCAGTGGTTAGCGTGTTTGATTTAAAATCTAAGGATTCATGGTTCAAGCCCTACCAACTGCAAAATAAAAAATCGGATGAATTGAGCCAGTCTGATGAGTCCTAATAGGACGAAACACTGTGTCTATGGATATATATATATATATATATGAGGGAAGAAATCTTTTATGGATTAGTATTTTTCTTGAATCTACCACCCCTGGGTGTTGGTTTCATGTTTACTACCGTCTTCAGAGAACAATAGGTTGAAGGTTGAACTGAAAGACTATTCTCCAGAGACGAGTAAATTTACACAACTCTGACCCATTTATTATTCTGCAGTTTCAACCTCCCCCCACTCCCCTGTTATTCATTTATTTTGACCAACATTACCGACCTATGATTCTCCAACAGAGGGAGGTTAGGTTACTTAACGTCCCTTGGGATAGTTATTTAAAATAACCACCCGCTCTGCGAAGTTTTCGGGATAAAATTTGCGCATTTTCATCTTTCAAGACGATAAAATTGTGTACAACTACTTTTTCGTGAAATTAAAAATTTTACTTAACCACGGGTTTCCTTGATCAATTTTGTCTACAAAACATCCCTCACTGCGCTCTGGTTGTTCTGTAGAAAAAATAGGTTTTAGGAACCCTTGGTGAAGTAAAATTTCCCGAACTTCCCTGTAAAGTAGTTGTAAATAATTATTACCGCCTTTTGGCCAATGTTACCGACCCATGATTCCCTTTACAGAGGGAAGTTAAGTTACTTATGATCCCTTAGGACAATAAATCAAGACTTCTACTCGCTCTGGGAAGTTTTCATCAAAAATTCGCTCATTTTCATCTCGAAAAACGATAGAATTGTGTACAACTACTTAGCCACGGTTTCCTTCGACCAAGTTTGCCTAAATAAAATTCTTTGCTACGCATTGGATGTTTTGATGACAAAATTGGTCTTGGGAACCCTTGTTAAAGTAAACTTCCCTATAAAATAGTTGTAAATAATTAATACACTATTCATTTTTACATTATCATTACTCATTCATATTTTTCAACCGTAAAAAGTTAAAAATAATCATATTTTATTGGAAACCTGTTGTCAATTTTCAATTTTAGAAATTTTACATTTTTTCTATTAAGAAGTAAACATTGATAAGTCTTCACAAAGATTGAATGCTACAGGATTTTTTTTAAAAACTAGATCTAATGAATTTAAAACCAGTTAGATTCTTTTAAAAAGTTCCCTAGCATACACTATTCATACGTATATTATACCGGCTCTGTAAATCATTTGAGGTTAAATAAAGTCCTCTGTCTTGCAATGGCTTATTTAGTGATTTGAACCACAGGGAACCATAAATACAAGGAAACTACTTGTTAATTCAGCACAGGGAACCATACATACAAGGAAACTTGTTAATGCAGCACAGGGAACCATAAATACAAGGAAACTACTTGTTAATTCAGCACAGGGAACCATAAATACAAGGAAACTTGTTAATTCAGCAAGGGAACCATAAATACAAGGAAACTACTTGTTAATTCAGCACAGGGAACCATAAATACAAGGAAACTGCTTGTTAATTCAGCACAGGAAACCATAAATACAAAAAGACTTGTTAATTCAGCACAGGATACCATAAATACAAAAAGACTTGTTAATTCAGCAGAGGGAACCATAAATACAAAAAGACTTGTTAATTCAGCAGAGGGAACCATAATACAAGGAAACTACTTGTTAATTCAGCACAGAAAACCATAAATACAAGGAAACTACTTTTTAATTCAGCACAGGGAACCATAAATACAAGGAAACTACTTTTTAATTCAGCACAGGGAACCATAAATACAAAAAGACTTGTTAATTCAGCACAGGATACCATAAATACAAAAAGACTTGTTAATTCAGCAAGGGAACCATAAATACAAGGAAACTACTTGTTACTATAAAGGTGGAAGTAACAGACCTCCCCAACCCCCTAGATCTTGTTATTTCTTTCTCTACATTCCTATACAGGGTGTCTCACGAAACATGATCGTGCCAAGACGAATTGAAGGTATTTGATCCTTGAAATAATTGGCGATATTATTCATAAACCTAATTTTAGAAGTAAAATTCTCGAGATAATAATTACCCCTAGTCTTGGCATTCACAAAATGTGGTCTGCCTTTTTTGTGCTTTAATATTACCGGAGATATGGATTTTGGTTTTATTTAATAAAATTGAAATTCACAAGTCGTGTTGCTACTTTCATGTTTCGTGGGACACCCTGTATATCCTCATTCTCATTCCATTCGACACGCTGAAACCTATTCAACAATGTTCCAAATTCCAATTTTCTCCTCTTAGCTCCCTAGCCGCCCCCCCCCCCCCCCCCCCCCCCCCCCGGCCTCGTTTATTACCAAAGAACAAACCAATACTAACAATACCATACCCTAAACTACAGGTCATTTCAAATTGTAGTTCCCAATCTTTCAACTTGAGAAAACTAGGACTGGGCACGTTCTGATTTAGTTCTAGCCATTTTGATATTGTACTGATATGAATTCACCGTTAAAATTTGTTTTCGTTTTTGACTAAAAGAACGAAATCTTTTTGTTAACAGTATTAATCGCCTTTTTTAAGCTAATATTAGTTAACGATCTCGACATTTTTAACGGCAGACATTTTAGAAATCCTTAACCGCCGCTAACGATTATTTAAAGGAAATATTATCTTTGAATTTCTGCAATTTTACGCAGAAAAAAGAACGAGTCTCGTTGTTTTTAAAACACATAGTTTCGTTTTTTTTAACTTTAATTGTTTTTACACGGCCATTTCCATTAGTTGACGATTTTTGCCGTTCTTTGACGAACTTTGCCCAGTTCTAGAGGAAATTAACCTGATAAAAAAAAATGCATTAAATTCTTAAATTGTGTGCCCGACATTTCAAAAATCTAGTAAAAACTTATCTCAGACTCTGCCTATACTGCTCGGCAGGCAGAGCTTGTCTTCTTCGAAGTTCGAGGAAAAATTGTTTTAAGATTATTTTCTTAAAAATTCCCCGACTATTGTTATTGTTCTTCCGATATCCTAGTTTGTTGCATGATTGAACATAATGAACATAATTCACAACTTAACTGGATTGCTTAAATGTTTTCTTTGTCTCTAAATATTCTTAATCTCACGATGTTTTATATTTAGGATGAAGATATGAACAGATGTATAGAAGAGAGCTCAAGGATACGTGATGAGTTCCAAAACTATTTTGATCTTGAGATCGAAGTGGAGGATTTCCAGGAAACGTATCGGACACTACTGGACGCTGTAAATAAATTATCCACTGAATCCCAGTGGGTTCCGCTTAACTGGGTTTATTCGTGATAACTTTGTTTATTCTTCAGTGTACTCCCTTAACATATGAATAGTACATGTACTCTCTCAATATGTTAGTACATATATTCTTAACATCTGGATAGTTGATGTACTCTTTCGGTACAGGGTGTCCCAAAGAAACATGGGAATTCAGTGACGAATTCGATGTCGTCTTTTTAAAAAATTCTTTGATTTAGTATAGTGATACCTACTGAGAAAGCTGTAATCCATAAGATTTTCGTCTGCTATATTTACAATTTGTTTGTTTATGTTTTGACCGCATACGGTTATACTTAGTAAAAAAGAAAATTACAGTATACAAACAGAGCAAACTTGTCCGTCTTCACTGTTCATCTTGCGGAGACATTATAGACACATCTTTACAGCCATTTACCGTTTTCATAAAATAAATTCTAGCAGACATAATAATATTTGGCTGTTGCAATTAGGTATTACAATGCTAATGTATAACAAAGACGATATCGAATTCGTCACTGAATTCTTATGTTCTTTGGGACACCCTGTTTATGGAAAGTATACTGTATTTCTCAACATATGGCTAGTACATATACTCTCAACTTGGATAGTAGATGCTTTCTACAAATGTACTTTCTCAACATGAGAAGTACATATATTCTACAGTTGTTCTCTCATCATTGATAGTACATGTACTCTCTCAACATATGGATAGTACATGAACTCTATCAAAGCGGATATTACATGTACTCTATCAAAGCTGACATTACATGTACTATCTCAACATGTGGATAGTGCATGTACTCTATCAAAGCTGGTAGTACATGTACTCTCTCAAAACGTATAGTTCTTGTATTTCATGACGCTGTAATCGTTTAAGGGTGACAAAAATAATATTAGTTAACAAATAACCCCTGCAGCTGAAATAGATCGTTCTCTTTAAAGTTTGAAATAATATTTCTAGAAAATCAGATGTGTTCCGAAAGCATAAATGCTGGAGGCATGTGTGTAAATAGTCAAGTTATCTTATTAAAAAATGAAATGTATAGTCCGATGTAAACGCAATTTATAAAAGTCGTATATAAATTGTAAAATAATTGATTAGTTTCAATCTTGCATGTCAAGGGTGTATAAAATTCTTTTGTTGCTTATCATATTATTCTTTCTTTTTTATTTCCCAAAAATAGTTAACTTAATAACTAAATCACCCGCCCCCCGACCAGAAATGTAGAATATCACTTTTTGGACTGTTGAAGGTTTACAAATTTCAAAAAAAAATTTCGTGGCTCTTAACAATTGCTTTTTTACACTTTAACATATTTTAACCCTGAGATAATATTTGCAATAACGAGCAAAAGCACGAATCAGAATGTTGTATCAACCTAGAAACTATATACAGGAACGCCCAACTCAGATATACTCGAATTGTGTACTGTACTCTGTGGGAGAAATGTAAACAAACCCAGTGCCCCCACAGACGTTGAAGGGTTTGAACTGTCTGATCAGTCCAACAAAAAACAAGTTAAGTTAATACTTATGAATTTTTGGCTTTCTGGTCAATATGGAAAATACAATAACAATATATTCTTATTCCACCCCTTGGGCCCTTTTCCCTCAAAAATGATGCGTTGCCCCTGAATTCTTTGTTCTGATCTCCTCCCACTGCAGTACACAGATTTGACGCATCAGATGTGGCGGTTCCTAGTCTATATTTCTTGTATTAACAATCACAAGCTTTTCTGTAAAGAAATAAGGATAAGTCAGTCATCTTTGGAAGGTCAAAGGTAGGTACAAATAGAAGGTCAATTGAAATAATGTCCAAGAGTCAAATTAATTTATATTACATTACCATTACCATAAAAAATTAACAAATTCAGCTTGGAACACAATAAAACCAGAATCAATCTTCAATTTGAAAACCATTTCTGCAAAAAATTTTATTTAATTTAACAGTGTCTAATTATTTTTTTAAACTTTTCCCAATTACCTCAATGTGTTAATACGATTTTTAATAAGGATTATGATTATACACCCTGGACGTAATATCGGATTTAATTTTAAAATGTTTAAAAAATGAGAATATGTTTCTGTACAGTAGAAAATAACATTTCTTTCAACTTGTCAAATATCTTATTCATAGAAAAGATAGTTAGAGTTCAAGACTAAAGTATAAGTACAAGACTTCAGAGACGAGACGAGTCGAGATGAGACGAGACGAGACGATGTTTTAAATAGGAAAAATTTCAGTGAAGTAAAACGCTTGAAAGTCCTATATTTAGAATTTACATAAATGAAAACTACAATTTTCAATGATTATCACAAAATGGTGCCAAACAATACAAATCAAAAATGTGTAAACTTATTTACATATGAACATTTTAAATCTTTGGTCAAAATTTCACCATTTAAAATTTTCAAATAATATATGTACAAGTAGTAATTGAGTCCGAAATAATATTGGTCCTTACATTACAACTTAAAATAGCATGAACATATGTTTGATGTCACTTTATATCAGGTTGAATTGCCGACTCGTTTTTTTCTTTTTCTCCGCTTTAAAATACACTTAAACCTGAACAGTAAACATTAATAACTAAAAAGAGAAAACAATATTTAGAAAATAACTCAGAAAAGAATTAAAAAATATAAATAATGCATAAATCTGAGAAAATAACCAAATCAGATTAAATTGGAACCAACGGTTGATACTAAATAGGAACTTAATTCTATTAAGCTGAACAAGGAAACCTAAGTTCGAATTAAATGAATTTGGGCTGGGTCTCAAATCCACCAAAAACCGGTTTCAATTGAGCGACGGTTAAAATCATGAAACATTAAATACAATTTTAAGTGGAACCGATCATATTTCAGCCGCGGCTCAAATTCTTTAAATTCGGCCTCAGAGGTGGTTAAACAGAAGGAAACCAGAGGTTATTCGCCAAAACAAAGAAACCAGAGGTGTTGAACAAGAAAACCCGAGTTTGTGAAATAATGACAAAAATAATTGATTTTTGGAAACAAATATGTGAAGCTAAAAAAAGGAAACCTAACATAATCTACATGACCTGTAGGTTGAGATAATAAAAATAATAATGATGCGTAAATGGAAAACTAAGGTTCAATGTCTGTAACAGTTTTTCTTTGAAAACCCTAATCCTATGATAATTCGCTAAAAATTTCATGAATCTTTTTGTGGACAATTAGTGAAAATAGAAGAAAAATAAATGTTACATTTAACACAATGAAATCTTAGGACTGGTATTTTTAAATCTCATCGTCCACTATAAAAATTAAGCATTAAAAATAAACAAAAATAAACAACAAATGGAAACTGATCCACTAATCCACATATTAGGGAAAATATTTACCTGTAAAAGTTACAGTCAAAATTACACTAAAATGCTTTGATTTCACTAGTCATGCTATCCAACACCTAAATCAAATTAATTTATCCAATATGTCTGAATCTGAAATTTTGAAAATGCTCACATTTTTTTTAATTACCATATCAGTTTTTTTTTAACTATATTGATATTTTCTTATTTATATTTAGAACAAATTGCATAGGATTACTTTCAACCTAGAACTCGTATTCACATCACCTGACTTAAACAAACTGGGGGGAAAACACAGCAATGCTAAGTCACACCATTCCGGTCCTTCAATTTAAAATAATATTAGTAATTCTAAAGCAAAAAAGGGGGAGTGTAAGTAGTATTACTCTCCGGAAAATTTAAACAGTGGTTAAACATAATTTAGCATTGTCGTAGAACGCTGATTTTTTGCATGCGAACTCGCTTATATGTATTGTAACTGCAAAATGCAATTTCAAATAGATCAGAGCAAATGTGCGCAATTAAGAAACATCGCATGCTACTTTTGTCTTGAATTAGGGCCAACTTGAATTAACATATATTTATTTGCATTTTTCCTTAATTGCGCGCGCACAGGGGGACATGAGGCTCTAGGGCGCAAACTTTTCAGGAATTTATTGTTTAATCGCGTCCTGATGCCGTTTCAAATTCATTTAACGGTGTAAAGCATGTGAGGACGTGAAAAAGTCATATTTTTTAACAAAAGGCGCGCGCACATTTGCGTTTGACCACTGTTTAAATTTCCCGGAGATTAATACGACCAAAGCCCCCTTTATCATCATTATCAAAATATATTTAAAAAAGGGAGTATAAATTAATGTAAAATGGTGTACTCTTATTTATTTTGATTTTGTCAAATGTATTGAAGTTATTGTACTTATACATTCTCATTCTCCAAAAAAAATTTCAATTAAAAACATGCTTTTGGTCAGTATCTAGACAGCCTTCAATATATTCATTGCATGTTGATTGTTGAAGGTAGAATCAGTAAACTATTAAATTTAAGATAGGGAAAATTTCTATAAGCAATCATTATGTTAACTTCAATGACTCTTCAAACTAATTTTGTTTGAAAGAGTAGAAGAAAAAGTTACCTTTGAGTAAAGCCTTGGTATTTAAGCTCAGTCAGTTCTCCGATATTGTGAAGGACCAAAAAGAGAACTGATTCAGATCGCTAATGATCGCTATACCTTGCTCTTTTAATATAAGATCGTGGATCCAGACTGTAGGAATATCTACTTGGATACTTCCGGCCTTCCAGACTCCTTTCAGAACTACGATTTTTCAATCCATATTGAGATCCTTGAGTATAGTTTCGATCCCATTGATGATTAGGACACTGATCCAGATAATCTCGTAGATCTTTATTACGACCAATGTGATTATAATTGCTCCTTGTGTCCCAGCTTGTAATATCTTCCTGGTTGTTATATTGTCTCCGACCCTTGTATTTTTGCCAGGTCTCGCGCACCCTTTGATCATTCTTCCATCCTTCGTTAGAGTAGACATCTGCACAGCTCTGTCCTGTCTCCGAGGTAAAATTATAACTTTTGTCAAGTTTCTCGCACCTTCTATGGTTTAAAATGTGCTTGGTTTCGATAACAGGACTATGGTCCTTTAGGTTCATGTTCTGATTATGAAACTGGCGAGGATTGGGATGAAGAATAGAATAGTCTCCAGGATTAATAAAGTCTTGAGTTTTAGTAAGTTTTCCTCGGTAAGGAGAAACGAAGGCTTCATTAGGAGTGGGAGGGGGAACACAGAAATCGAACAATTTTTGAGATGATACAGTAGAGATAAATCCTTTACCTGCATCAGCTATCGGTGCACTTGGATATATAGAAGAGCAAGAATATCCAGTGGAGGTTGCTGGTTTAGAGATACAAGGATATCCAGTAGAGGTTGCTGGTTTAGAGATACAAGGATATCCAGTAAAGGTTGCTGGTTTAGAGATGAAAGGATATCCAGTAGAGTTTGCTGGTTTAGAGATACAAGGATATCCAGTAGAGGTTGCTGGTTTAGAGATACAAGGATATCCAGTAGAGGTTGCAGGTTTAGAGATACAAGGATATCCAGTGGAGGTTGCTGGTTTAGAGATAAAAGGATATCCAGTAGAGGTTGCAGGTTTAGAGATACAAGGATATCCAGTGGAGGTTGAAAGTATAGTTGGTATAATATATCCAGAGACACTTGAAAATGGGTTGGGTTGGTTGAGGGACTCACTTAGTTGGATCACAGGAATAGGGGTTCCAGAAAACATAGGATATTTATAAACTTCAAGGACCATTTCACCACCTAGAAAATATTATTGATTAAAGTAGGGTAAAAAATAAACCTGGAAAATGATATTTTTATTTTAATTAAAACAAAACTCGTCTCAGGGTCTAATGGGACTGTAAGCGTAATTTTAAGCGACCCTCAGTACCAAGATTGCAATGCCTGATTTACAACGGTACCCTTGAAACTTTAGCCTGATTAACAATGTGAAAATTTTCGTGCTTGTTTGCTGACAATTCCTATATATTTTTGTAGTAAATCGACAATTAACATTTTTTTTAAAATTTCGATTTAATACTTAATCATACAACACTTGTAAGGGTACCGTTGTGACTCGGGCATTGGCATTCTTTACATGGACGGTAACTTAAATTACGCTTACAGTCCCTTTAATTTCTCAGGTTACTATCCATATCTAAATAAGAACATCTGCATTTCAAGTTTGGGTTTGATTATAAATTCGTGATAAAAACATATTTTACAAAAAGATTGGGGTTTTATCACCAAGCAAAATAATTTTCTTGAAAATTGTCCAAAGTAATCCTGAACCTATTTAAGGAAATCTCTCTTTAAATTTATTAATTTCAGTATTTCAAGAATACAGATAAATTACCTTTTGAAGTTATTTTGGTTGAGTTGTCACATTGTCTTTTCTTCTCAATACTGCGACATCCTTCAGATACTTCTAGTCGTTCTTTAAACTCCTCATAACCAATACATCTATCTTGACTTTTCCTAGCAAGCTTGCAATCGTTATTTCTTGATTTGCTGACTGGCAGTTCAGGTTTATTACCAACCTTGACCATGCTCATCGTAATGATTTCGTTTCCTGTTGGTAAATCAGAGTCCGAGCTGGACGAATCAGGGTCCGAGCTGGACGAATCAGGGTCCGAGCTGAACGAATCGGATTCAGATTCGGACGAAGTTTTCTCCGATTCATCCTTGTCATCCGAAATCTCGGCAAGATTGAAAACATTTTGATAGTTAACACTGTCACGTCTCATCCTTGTTCTGTAGAGCGAAAGAATTCTATGCAGGGAGGATTTATCCTTCTCCTGCAAATCCGGTAAATCTTCGTTTTTTAAAACAGGTTCAAGGTATTTACTTCGGATTATTTCAGTATTAGGAAACAACTCAGTCTTTGAAGCATCCTTTATATCCAAGATAAGACTTGTCTCTGTATTGGGAGGCGTCTTGGGAATTGTATTGTTACTTGAAGCATTCTCTGTATCCAGGATAAAACTTGTCTCTGTATTGGAAAACGTTTCGGGAATTGTATTGTTACTTGAAGCATTCTCTGTATCCAGGATAAGACTTGTCTCTGTATTGGGAGGCGTCTTGGGAATTGTATTGTTTCTTGAAGCATTCTCTGTATCCAGGACAAGACTTGTCTCTGTATTGGGAGGCGTCTTGGGAATTGTATTGTTACTTGAAGCATTCTCTGTATCCAGGACAAGACTTGTCTCTGTATTGGAAAACGTCTCGGGAATAGTATTGTACCTTGAAGCATTCTCTGTATCCAGGATAATACTTGTCTCTGTATTGGGAGGCGTCTTGGGAATTGTATTGTTTCTTGAAGAATTCTCTGTATCCAGGATAATTTTTGTCTCTGTATGGGTGAAAAGCTCAGTCTTAGAATAGTTACTTAAAGTATCCTTTGTCTCTAGGATAAGACTTGTCGCTGGTTTGGGTTCTAATTCTAACAGCTGTTTCACTGGAAGATTATTTTCTGCATCATGAGAAGTATTGATCTCATTTACTTTCGTATCCGAAACAGCATCAGTTTTTGAGCCAAGCTTTGTATTAAGAACAAGTTGAATTTCAGGGGATGGACCAACCTCTATGACAGGAGTCTGATGCAATTCAGGGGTCTTCTGAAGTTCGGGTGATGAAGCTAGCTCCGTTATCAGATTTTGTTGAGATTCAAGGTGCAGTGAAAACTTTATCTCTGGGATTTCCTGAAGTTCAAGTAGAGAGACTCTGGTCTTTGGATTATATTTAGAGTTAGGACATGGAGCAACCTTAGTCTCTGAAGTCTCATTAATTTCAGAGGATGGAGCAAGCTTTATCGCCGGATCTTGTTGAAACTGAGGGCAAGAAGCAAACTCGGTACCTGGCTTCTCTTGAAATTCGTAAACCAAAGCAAGATTAATCGCTGAATTCTGTGAAAAATCAGAGAGTGGAGCAAGATTACTTATCGGATCCTGAGGACATTCTGAACATGGAAAAAGCTTTGTCTCCGGAGTTTTCTGAAGTACAGGACAGGGAGCAAGCTTAATCTCTGGTTTCTGACAAGATTCAGGATGTGAAGCATCATTAGGCTTAATATTCTGTGGAAATTCCGGATGTGAGGAAACCTCAGTCTTTAAAATCTTTTGAAATTCAAGGGACGGAGCAAGCACTTTTGTAGGATTCTGTTGAAATTCAGGGCATGGAGCAAACTCAGTCTCTACGATCTCCTGAAATTGAGGGCGTGGGGTAAGCTCAGTATCTGGATTCTGTATTGATTGCTTTATCTTCAAATTCTGTCGAGGTTTAGCGCATGAGGTAACAATAGATTCCAAGCATGGAGCAAGACCATACTCTGTATTATGAAGAAACTTATTAGTCTTTGGGATCTTCAGAACTTCAGTAGATGAAGCAAGATCAGCATCCGGATACTTTTGATATTCAAGGTGTGAAGCACGATTGATTTTCGGATTCTGTTGATATTCAGGGTGTGAAGCAAGATTAATTTCTGAATTCTGTTGAAATACCGAGTATAAATCACGCTTATTGTTAGGATACTGAAGTTCAGTACTTGGAGCAAGATCAGTTTCCAGATTCTGTTGAAATCCATCGCACGGAGCAATCCTCGTCTCAAGGTTCTGTTCAAATTCTGCATCTGAAACACCAAGTGATTTCAATACCTCGATAAGATGATCTTTCATTCGTGGAGTATCAAGGGTTTCAACTGTGGAAAAGCTCTTTTGGTTTCCCTGAGAAAGTTCTTCAACGTGAGATAAATCAAAGGAATTTCTATCCAACAAAGAGACGCAACCTCCAATAGACTTCTGAAGAACTGAAGTGACCACAGGGGAAATTTCATCCTGAGAATTCCAATAATAGAACCCAGGTTCAGGACTCCTTGTAGTAACTGGAGCAAATGGAGAAAACTCCATTGGAGCAGGTTCATTCTCCTCCCGGAGAACCTGTAAAAATAGGGTTGAAGCAGGTTCATTCTCATCCAGAAGAACTGGTGAAGATAGGGCTGGAGCAGGTTCATTTTCATCCTGGAAAACCGGTGAAGATGGGGTAAGAACCTGGACATTATCAGGAACAACCGTAGATATCTCTGAATAGAATCCAATATCCAAGAATTCTCGCAGTAGTATTCCTTCCTGGTCTAGATCGGCCAAAACTCTAGAATTCAGACTCGCATGTTCTATAGACCCGAGCCCAATACCGGGACAACAAAAATCTAAAAAAAAATTGTTCGTACAAAAAATTCCTGAATTTTGCATTTAAAAATCTTATATAGATGTTTTCAACAAATGCAAGCTATATTTTATGCCGTATTAAAAAAATCACAATTTATATCACAAGAATTTTTTCTACTGTGGAAGATATCCTTGTTCACCGCAACTTAATTTTAAATTATGAATAATAGCGGAATATTGAGAGTATAACTCGAAAAACAGAACAAAATTGAAGATTTGTGCATCAATCTTTTTCATGGCTTGACATAATCACAGGATATAGACCAGAAGATGGTAAAATAAAAATAATACAAGAGAAGTTATGGCAAGGATATCTATCATGAACTATTGAAGATCAGTATGTTTCTTCTGCCGTCTAATCTCTTGTTTCAGTTCCTCGCTGTTCCTCGCTCCAATGTTCAGTAAAAATCACAATTACATCAATACAAAATAATAATATATATAAACACTCTCGAGCTTTTAAAAATAACCTGGTTCTGGTTGTGCATTGAGGTCTTGATGAGAACCTTGAATCTGGACATGACCAACTTGATCGATCTGATCATGGTTTCCGATCTCATTATTCTCAACTGGAACCGTATCAGAGATATCAATCTTGACTTCTGAGTTGGATTTACCTACTCCGGCGGCGGTGGCCAGAAGAGATTTCAGGACTGATGTTTGATAATTCCACTCAGCAGCCTGATCTAGCTCAGCTTGAATCTCCCGGAAAAATCTTGACCTAAGCTCTTCACCAGTCTCCAAAACATCTTGAGAATGGTCGATCATATCTTCAACTATTCTGGGACAGGGGAAAAGACTCTCCCATTCCACTCTGCTAGATTCGTCTGATTCAATGTTACTGAGCTCATCCTGATCAATTACTGGTATTAACAAACAACAATACAATGGTGGAATAGATTAGGTATTTCATTGCTTTTGATTGTACATTATATAAAATATCTAGAACAGAGATTTTTAATCATTACTTTTCCCGTCAGAGTTTAATGAATTGTAGAGGTCGCTGAATTGCTCAAATCCTGAATCGCCGATTGAAATCCTCATAAATTCTTAGCTTTGAATCGGTGGTTCAAGATTTGAACCGGTGGTATAGGTAGTTCAGCCACCTCTTTAAATTCGGTTAATAGATCCATATCTGGTATATAAAAATAATACTAATTAAATAACAAAAAACAGGATTAAATTCTTCTCATTTGAAATTTTTAAAACGTTTTTAGTTCAATACATTTCAAATAACATAGAGGTAGTCAAATGGAAAATAAATTTTGCACAGAAAAATTTTAATTTTACAGAAATATTTTCTTCTAAATGACAATCTTAGATTTATCTCAATTGGGACATTTTTGAGCTGACGACCTCCTCTACTAATATGTCTACATTTGAAATATACATTCCGCAATTGACAAGTTTCTTTAGTAGTTACAAAAAATTGGATTTCCCTTCCCATTTCTATTTTGAAAAGATTTTATCTAATTAAGCGAAATCTAACCTTTAATACATACGAGACTTGGTCAGAAGTATTTTTCCCCTCTTCTACACCTTGTGGACTTAAGACTGTAGCTTGCTTGGTTTCAGATACCTAAATTATAATTCAATAATAATACAATACAAATATCCATAACAGTACAAAACTGTGTAGTCATTGATCCCCAACCACTCATTACAAAAAATTCTGTAGGATATTCATGAACAAGTATTTCAGAGCTAAAAAAACTTAAGAATTGAATTTCCTTAATTCCGATCGCCTGAATATCCATGCTGTGAAAATTATTCTTGTTAATCCTCTCTTTTTGATATCCCTGCTGGGTTCCGACCAATGCAATGAGAGTTCTCTCAATGATTTGGTGTAAAATTTCCCGGCTTCTGATTGGCTGTTCGGTTTATGCAAACAACACTCAGATTGGTTGAACTTTAGACACTTTAATGGATATCAAAATTAAAATATAATAATCTGCAGATTAACAAAAAGAGGAGATCGAGCATTATTCTTGAATTCCACGATTCGAAAGTTTTCAGCTCGATTTACATTCTGAAGGACGGATTTATCTGTAATTCTCATGGGGAGATGTTTTAACGCCACAACATTTAAAGCAGTGACGCATTTGTTAAAGTAGACATTAGAGCGTTTAATACATACCTTATTTTGATCCACGGTCAAATTTTCTAAATTTTGATTTCAAAATATGATATCGCAAGAGATTTCAAAGATATGTGCTTGGCGTGTAAAGGAAAACAAATAAATATCAAACTCTTAAGAACTATATTAATTGTAATAACATACGATACAATGGAAGAAAGATTCCATGTGAAAAAGAGTTCTGACGGTTAAAATCAAATGTCGACTGGATAATATGGCACTGGATCCAGAATCGCTGGATAAAATGTTGTGGGAGTAGTGTCTAATTTTTTGTTTATTTCGTCAAGCTTAGCAACATCTAACCTTTAATTCAGTTGAGACGGCACAGGTAACCATCGTCTCGTCTGAACCTTCAGGACTGAAAACTGAGGCTGGCTTGGTTGAAGAAACCTAGATCATAAAAATGATTAAATAATAATAAAACAAACTGATGTTTTCTCTTCTTCCTGTAAACCCACATTTGATCGAGAACTGTAAAAGTTATCTGATGTTTCTGTCTCGAGAAATTAATATAAAACTGTGTGATTATACCAAAACTTAATTATGAGATTTTATTAATCTATTCAATTAATCTTTTTAATCTAAATTTTCTAATATTTTCTACTCCCAACACTAGCTTCAGTTTAGGTTAGGTAATTCTCAAATTCTGACAATGGAATGGAGAAATTAATAAGAGATGCAATTAAAGATCAAGATCTGACTGAAACAAGTCACATTAAGCAGGAAGCAAATAAAATAAAATGGATTTCTTTCAACTTCTGGGGTTACGATTTTCAACAACTTTTTGTTTTTAACCATTGAAAAATACTTTTTCTTCAACAACGTTTTGTTTTTAAGCGATGGATTTAAGATTTTAAATAATTTTTTTTTGTCTTCAACCACTGGTTTTTAAATTCTGCAGCAACTTATATTCTTTCAACTGCTGGGATTAAGATTTTCGACAGTTTTTTGCTTTCAACCACTGAAAAATAATTTTTCTTGAAAAAGTTATTGCTTTCGACCGCTGGTTTTCAGAGTTTTCAGCAACTTTTTTCTTTCAACCGCTGGTTTAAGATTTTCAACAACGTTTTGCTTTCAACCACTGAAAAATAATTTCTTGAAAAACGCTTTTTTTCAACCACTGGTTTAAGATTTTCCAGAAGCGTTTTGCTTTCAACCGCTGGTTTTATGAATTTGAATAACTTTTTGCTTTCGAACACTGGAAAACAGTTTTTTCTTGAAAGACATTTTTCTTTCAACAAATGGGTTTAATAATTTAAATAATTTTTTTGCTTTCAACCGCTAGTTTCAAGATTGTTCAGCAACTTTTTATCTTTCGACCACTGGGTTTAAGATTTTTAACAACTTTTTGCTTTCCACCACTGGAAAATAATTTTCTTGAAAAACGTTTTTGCTTTCAACCACTGGGTTTAAGATTTATAACTTTTTTGCTTTCATCAGCTGGTTTAAAGATTTTTCAGCAACTTTTTTGCTGTCAACCACTAGTTAAACATTTTGAAAAAAGTTTTTGGTTTCAACCATTGATAAAAAGTTTTATTAAACACATGTATAAAATTCTTTCCTGGGAGGAGGGGGAAGAAATCAAAGACCCAAGAGGAGGGGAAGGAAAAGGGAAAGGAAAGGGGAAAAGAAAAGAAAAGGAAAAAAAAAAGTGGAAAATAAAAGGAAAAAGGGAAGAAAACAGTAATGGAAAGGGTTAAAAGCGGAAAAAGGGGAAGGGTGTGGAAGGGGGAAAGGCAGAGAGAGGGAAGGGATGGAAGTGGATTAGTAGGGAAGGAGATAGGTAAGGAAAGAGATAGGTAGGGAAGAGGAAAAGTAGACAGGGAGGGTCAGGAGGGAAAGGGGAAGATTGAGAAAGGGGAATGTTGAGAGAGAAAGGGGAAGATTGGGAGGGAAAGGGAATAGTTGAGAGGGAAAAGGGGAGATTAAGAGGGGAAGGTTGAGAGGGAAAGGGGAAGGTTGAGAGGGAAAGGTTGAGAGGGAATGGGAAAGATTGAGAGGAAAAGGGAAAGATTGTGAAAGAAAGGGGAAGGTGGAGAGGGAAAGGGACAGGTTGAAAGGGAAAGGCTGATAGGGAAAGGGAAAGATTGAGAGAGAAAGGGGAAGATTGAGAGGGAAAGAGAAGATTGAGATAAAGGGAAAGGTTGAGAGGGAAAGGGAAAGATTGAGAGGGAAAGGGAAAGATTGAGAGGGAAAGGGGAAGATTGAGAGGGAAAGGGGAAGGTTGAGAGGGAAAGGGGAAGGTTGAGAGGGAAAGGGAACGGTTGAGAGGGAAAGAGAAAGGTTGAGAGGAAAAGGGAAAGATTGAGAGAGAAAGGGTAAGATTGAGAGGAAAAAGGGAAGGTTGAGAGGGAAAGGTGAAGATTGGGAGGGAGAAGGGAAGATTGAGAGGGAAAGGAGAAGGTTGAGAGGGAAAGGTGAAGATTGGGAGGGAAAGGGAAAGTTTGAGAGGGAAAGGTGAAGATTGGGAGGGAAAAGGGAAGATTGAGAGAGAAAGGGGAAGGTTGAGAGGGAAAGAGGAATATAGTTAACTATGCAAGGAATAGGGAAGTAGAAGGAGAAGGTAAGAGGAAGGTAGGGTAGATAGGGAAGGGGACGGTAGTGAATCAATGGAAAGAAGTGAAGAGGAAGGGTAAATAGGAAAGGGACGGACTAGAGCTCTTAACCTCTAAGTTAAGTAAGACAAAGTTAGAGTAATAAGGGAGAGAGACAAAATGGTATAGACATAACAGATAAAAGGGAGAAATTAAAGAGGAAAAAGGTCAGATTGAAACATACGGTTGAGAAGGACACTCCGTAAACCAAAAATAAAAGGTTGAGAAGGAAAACTTAGTAAACCTGAGAAATGAGAAGGAAAACTCAGTCAGTCTGGAAACGGACAAGGAATCCGGAAACAGAAACCCTCACAAACCCCAAATGAGTAGAACAAACTTGGAAAACCCAACGAAAAAGATGGAAAAGAAGAAAAAAGAAAAAATAATACATAAGGCTATAAAAGAATTACACAAAAGAGATCTGAAGAAAAGAAAAAATAAAAGATCCAAAAAGAAGAGAAGAAATAAAACAAAAGCGATCTAAAAAAGAAAGAAAAAAAGATCCAACAATAGAAAGAATAAAAAAAATAAAACTGATGGGTCTAGAGTTGGTTTCTCAAAAGGTACAGTCGCCGGAGAACGAGAAAGTTTTGAACAAAAAATGGATAAGGCAAGATATGTTTAAGAAAAAGTAAGAATGGCCGGGTGTTGTAAGTTGAGTCTCTCTGACACCCGAAACGGGGAAAAGGGACGGGAGAGGAGGAAAGAAACGAAAACAGAGGGGGGGGGGGAGGTAAAGAAAAGAGATGAGAAAACAAAACATCGAACTCTTGTAGGTCTCGATCAACAACCGGTTTCAGCCTATACCCCCTTTAATTTTTCCTAAACAGTCCCTTTAAGAAATTTTAAACTATAAGCTAAGAACTTTCTCGTAGCTCTATCAAGTTCTCCAGTTCCCCAATCAAAATGGGATGCAAATCGGTCAAGGGGTTCATGAGTAATAACCGAACATACAAACAAACAATAGACGAACTGAGATTAGTACATAATAATTTTATAACTAATAGACTAGAGATAACAGAACAGTATTTTTATTTACGAGTCTTCAAAAGATTTCTATTTCTCGCCCACTAACTAGTGAAAATGATGTATTAAGTTCACTAATTATTTCTAGCGCTTAATTGCTAAAAGAGGAGCGCGCATGCGCTAAGGTTCAAAAACGTAATTTTATTTTTACTTCTGCACTCCCCCCCTCTCATTCGACAATTAATTCTTTCAATAAAAATGTTTAGTATCACCTCCTGTATGTGTGAACTGGTAGATGCTGGCATCTTAAAACTTAGTCCCCATTCCATCAATTCCATAGTTTCGATTCTTCTCATCTGTTTTCTGATTTTATCTCCAGGTCCTTTTATCTTTTTGTTCTTATTCTGATCAGTATTCTTTTCTTTCTCTGCCCGCTCTTTCTTTATTTTCTTATCTTTCTTTGGTTTCTTTTCTTTCCTAATTATCTCTCCGACTCCCGATTTCACAGAATTAATAGTTTCAGGGTTATTACGCTCCAGTATGTCTCGTTCCTTTCTTATTTTTTCCTTTTCCTTCTTCAACTCATCAATTTTCTTCTGAATAATCGCCACCTCCGCTCTCTTAGTCTCATACGCAGTTTCTTTCATCATTTCAGAACTACCTAGCGCATCTTCAAAATTTGTCGTGTCCAAAAACCTAAAAATGCTTTTTCAAAATACTGTAGTTACTATTAGGTTGACATTGATGTAAAAAACAAAGAAATTCTTTAACGAACGATTAAAGGCTAATATCGGGAGGGTCGAATGTTGATCAACTGTAAAATGACATTGATGTAAAAAAAAACAAAGAAATTCTTTCCCGGTAAATAAGAATTTAATGAAGACGACATTCTGACTAAGCATTCATTAAGTTTAACTCGAAGTATTTAACTAAGGATCAGGAAGGTCGAATGTTTATCTAATGTAAATGTGATCTTTTAATGAATAACTAAGAGAAATTAACAACGTTAAAGTAACCGCAAACGATCAAGTAAAACTTTCCTAGTTTTGCCGCTGCCGTGCATCATCAGTTCATCGCCCATCGTACTTCTTAACATTCCCCCAAAAGGGGATGGTGGAGTTGGCACATTTGATGTAGGGGGGGGGGGCCCTGAGTCATTAGAGGTCATTAAAGTTCAATTTGATTTTATTATAGGAATTTCGAACCCTAATTAGGCGTGCATCCAAAAACTTGGAAGATTTGAACCAAAAATGAAGGCAGGGCCCCCCCCCCCTACATCAAATGTGCCAACTCCACCATCCCCTTTTTAACCACTGTAAAACAAGGCATATGTAAAGATATTAAAAGCAAAATAAAAACACTTGACGATGTATTTGACGATGAAAAAAAACTTTTAAAAATACAAATAAACAATCTAAAAAGAAGCCAACACCTGAGAGTAAGTTTGGGCGCCCTATCCCCGCTTCCCTAACACATTTAAGAATTAAAGGGAGTGTTCGCGAAAAATGAAAGGGGGTACAGGCTTAATGCGATAAAAAAGCGCTTTTGATCGCTACTAATCTTACTTCTATCTGTTGCGTCTATAAGGAGAAAATTGTTAAAGACG